AAAAAGCTAAAGTCGCCAGTAACTGATTTCCGATTTATTATTAACAATTAAATTTTACCGTCAACTCGCTCAGTTTCATTTTTCATTGCCTGCATTTTTAGCTTCTTCAGTAGCTTCTCTTGCTGGGTAGGCTTACGAGGGTGTTGGCCAGAAGCATTTTTCGTAAACTTCGAAGGGGTTCTTCCAATGGAATAGAATGCACTTCCATCTTCCCTGGAGATTTCTTCGGTAAACTTTTTCTTTACTATCCAAATAACTTTAGAATCTGCAATCTCATTTAGGTTAGTAACTTCATTCACGTCATTATCTTCTCCCTCTCGCCGCATACACAGTATTGTGTCTTTCTCAAAATTCAGCGGCAGTCTGCTCGACTCCAACAAATCGAAAACTTGGTTCTTGGCTTCGATTTCTATACGAGCCAGTTTACCTGTGTCTTCTCTTTTAACTACGAATTTTAATTTCTTAACAACTTTCATCCTAAAATAGACCAACACAATATTTATTCAAGCAGGCAAGAGCAATCAATCAAAGAACTTTATAGGGCATTTTGCGGGCTAAAACGAAATCTTTAGCCAGGTTTAGCTTAGTTCGCAGTCTGAAATGTTTGTATTTCAAGATATAGATTTTTATTTAATTTTTTGGATATATTTTTTTAATATTTTTATTACGGATATTTTAGAATTTTTTTTCAATAGCTTCAATTATTACATCTATAGCTAAATATACGTACCATATTAGCTTCAGCAACAAACCCAAAAATATCACAAAAATCAATATATTGACCAGTCCTTGGATGATTGACTGCATACCGAAGTGTTCGACCAATCGGCAGTATGTGTAAACCCAATTTCAAAAGTATCAAACAATTGTTACCTAAAAAGAGTTCGAAATGACAAAATAATAAAGTTTAGACAATAAAAAGAGCAAAACAACAAGAAACGATAAAAGGGAAATACAGGGTGTGTCTGATTCATGCGCATACCCATCCATTTTCAGGTGTCTTAAGCCGGTTTTCCATTAGCTATATCTTTCTCGCGAAGCGACATTTTACTTTTTCCCAGAGCTCTCAACTACAATAATCTGGAACAAATTGCTCAAACACAAAGGAATAAAGTCGCTTCGCCCGAAAAATATCGCTAGTGGAAAACCAGCTTAAGTGAAGACATTGTTCTGTATATGTGAATTAATGCATTCTAAGCTTTTAATCCTGGGAGGTCGATGAAATTGTACTCAGGTTTTTCCTGTTGGACCAGCACAAAGGAATTATTAGTTCAGTTATAAGTTCGCGGCAAGTTTGCGCATGAGTAAGCAACCTAAGCTGTCGAAATTACTTGAAGAACATCAAATATTGAAGTTGTACTATGACTGGGAAAACAGGTGGAAAGTTAGACAAATGAAATGGCTCTAGTAAAGGTAGTTATGAGCTAGTAACCCTAACCCTAACCTTCACCCTAATTCTTTCATAATTTATTTAAGACATTTCCATTCAAGTTCCTGTATCAGTGTCACTCTGTCACATGAATTCAGGTCCATTAATGGGGGCTAAAGTTTTGAAGGCAATGATGAATTTATTGGATATAAATTCGCCTAGGAAAATTTCCCCTCTGATATAATTTCAATATCCAATTCGCCTTTAAACGCCCTTATTCCTGAATTTGGTATCACATGCCGTGATTACACAGCTATTTCCTGTTGAAAGAAAATTAGAAAATTATTATGGAAGTCTAATCTGCGCTAAAACAAGCTGTTAATTCCTCTCACAATCATTTTCGTTTTTCAGTTTCATTTACTAGCAATCCGCCATAAAATTTGTATTTGCATTCACCCAGAGTTTGGTTATTCTCGCCGTCACGGTGCATTTGATTTCTTAAAGTTGCTATTCCAGAAATCAAAATTCAGTTGAAAATTTAGGCTCCGGTTCTAATTTCCTGGTAGCATAATACCGGGAAACATAGATCACCCAAACCGAAACAAATACTTAATAACACGCGATGACAGACTATATTCTACCAAAACTGTGGACAAGATTGGTTTTGGTACTGGGGAATTGTAGCATTATCAACGAGCATGGGGCTTTTTTGTTTCTGATGTATATGTAGAATAAATGCCGAACTGCTGAAATTAGTGAAATACATGCAATAAAGCAAGCAAACTCAATCAAACACATTGACATTAAAATGACTCATTGATCAATTCGAAACGTATCATGTTTTAAATCGAGGAATAGACTGCTATTAAAATGATACAACAAGCAGTAATATTTAGTACTTCACCTTTTCAAGCAGACGATAGCGATGGCGTACAGCTTTACAAACCAATAAAGAGTGGCACTGGACGCAAGTACGTTTCCAGTCTTCACTGATACGGGAACTTGAATGAAAAGGTCTTAAATATGAAACATTATGACACGGCTATTCCTGCTATTTCATTCCGATTTTGTTCCGGTACTAACTTCCTTGTAGCATAATACCGGGAAACATAGATCACTCAAACCGAAACAAATATTAACATGCGATGACAGACTATATTCTACCAAAACTGTTCACAAGATTGGTCTTGGTACTGGGGAATTGTTGCATTATCAACGAGCATGGGGCTTTTTTGTTCCTGATGTATATAGAATAAATAAAGGCTGAACTGTTGAAATACATGCAATAAACCAAGCAAACTGAATCAAACACATTGACATTCAAATTACTCATTGATCAATTCGAAACGTATCATGCTTCGAATCGAGGAATAGACTGCTATTAAAATGTTACAACAGTAATATTTAGTACTTCACCTTTTCAAGCAGACGATAGCGATGGCGTACAGCTTTACAAACCAATAAAGAGTGGCGCTGAACTCAAGTACCTTTCCAGTCCGGCTTCACTGATACGGGAACTTGAATGGGAAGGTCTTAAATATGAAACATTATGACACGGCAATTCCTGCTATTTGATTCCTATTTTGTTCCGGTTCTAATTTTTTGGTAACATAATAACGGAAACATAGATCACCCAAACCAAAACAAAATATAACACGTGATAAGAGACTATATTCTACTAAAATTGTCTAAAATATTCTACTAAAATTGATTGGTCTTTGTAATGACGAGTCAATGGGTTATCAAAAAAAGCTTTAAAATAAATCAAGAACGGAATGCAATATGAATAGACGTCTATACCACCTCATATGGCTAAACTAATTGGTAACGTGGTAATATTTTTTAAATCATTCTGATAAATATACGGTCAACACGTGCTGACTGCTGAACGCATATCTACTCAAAGGCATCATTTAGTGGCAGTGCCGGTGAAAGAAACTGAAAATTATTGTAAGGGACAGACTTGTATTGTCTTGTTTCGGATTTTCGTCATAATATTCTTATAGGATTTTTAACAGCAAGCGGTTATGTACTGCTCAGGCAAGGAATATTTGGCCTTGAAGATTTTAGATTTATGGGCCATGGCCATTTTGACAAATGCTGTTCGGTTGGACTTTGAGATCCCAAAGGAACATGTTTTCAAACCCTTTAAGCAAATTGATATAAAATAATCTAAACTGATTCTTGTAAAACACTTTCTAATAAATCAGTAACAGTAAATGACGCACTGCCATAAACGCTCCGTGTTAAAATTTACATGTGTACACCAGCCACCAGGCCTTATATAACCATAATACTCCTTGAATGTAAAGCGATGCTTTTCTAAACACATCTATATAGTGACTTTCACGAATTCGATTTCTAAGCAAAAGGATGCTTACATGTAAACAGCCTCTTTTTACTTCTAGGAATTGATGTTACGATGTTCAGCATCAGCCATATACGCATATCGTTCTGCGTGCGGAATTATCATGTGGTACCTATGCACCTGGGGCCGGTGTTCGAAAGGCGTGTAGCTTGAACAGTGGATAAGTTTAAAATGAAAAACAAAATTATCTATATATTTCAATATAACCAAGGAGCAGCGTAGCAGCGTCTTCAAACAACTTAGCATCAAATGTGGTATAACAACTGCCTAAATAGACTAAACACTTGACCTGTGGGCCTTCGTCAGGAGAGTTAGTATGAAAATAAATAGGGGAGAATACATGTTTTGTATGGGGGCAAACAAATGAGCTGACATATTTCGATGTAAATAGTTTAGTTTTCATGATATGGAAGAACATATTTAATGCACAAGATGTAGTCATTTACAAAATCAGATATGAGAATAGCTTTAAACTGGTGTTTTAGCCGATCAACGATGCCGTTCACGATTGTACGTGCAGCCGTTCACCAAAGGCTAAAAACCTTAAGTTGCGATGTTAGTACTTTAATTGCAAGGAATGAGCATGGTTCGCATTGTTTTGAAATAACGCGTATAGAAAACGCTGTGCCACCAAGAATGTTGAATATAGGTATTTTTCGATAACACGTTGTGTTATCAATAAGCAGGACGCGTTTTTTGTTCTTGATGTAAAAAAAACTAAACTAAATTTGAAACCGTGCATGCTCAACTTAACGAGTTGGCTTTAGCATGCACACATAGCAGGGAACTGCTTCAAAGAAAACAACTTTATGTAACTGAGACCGCGAGTTCTTTTGACGCTTTTAGACCATTATTTAGCACTGGCTTTCTATATTAATGTATAAAGCTTCAAAGGATAGCAGAAGGTTAGAGTTCGTGTGTTTGAGAGTGTGTTATCTGTGTGTTAACCGATATGAGGTTTTGAAGAGAGAGCAATATTTCTAGTGAGTACTTACTACAAATCTATCTGCCAATCTATATATCGGCCCTTATACTTTTTACATTATAGGTATATTAATTTTAGCTACAGGTTCGCTCATAAATCATGGAGTTCGTCCAAATCAGCAGCGCTAACACACTGAAGACCAAACTATATGATATACTCACGCCTGTATTGAAAAAGCTTACTCACACTCATTCAGTGTGACATACAAATTTTATTTTTACTGATTAATGAAAATTTTTTTCTTAACTATTGGAAAAATTTAAGGTCAAACACTGAGAATCAAGTTTTTATTCGACTGCAAATACATGTATGGAAACCCTGTGAGAAGATTAAGATCGCTTGCATGCTCAATGAGTTTGAGTGTGAGTGAGCTTTTGGAATGCGGACAGGCGTCAATCCTTGATGTTACTGATTTGTTCCAAAAATATAGATTTATTTCAAGTCAAAATCGCTAAACTACAAGTTAAAATGTTAGATGTTGCTTATTATTAATTAAAAGTTCGAAAAGCATTCAAATACAACAAAACAATTTAGACCCAAGTAGTTTGTGGGACACTACTCCACTTTCGATATCATGTAAAGCCAATAATCGAAGGTAAAACACAACAAAAGACGTTATGATGTTGTGAGAATATGAACAAATCCCAAAAATATCAAGACAACTAAGAACAGATTTCGTATATACAATACAAAATAAAACTGCTTCAGTATTCTTTAACATGAAATGTTCCGCTCGCTCGATTGTTTCATCGCCACTTCACATGTTTGTAACCGGTTAGCCAGTTGTTTTCGGAAACCAGATGCAGAAGGGGGAAGCATTTTTATATCATTTGTGCAAACTTTCACAGTCTCACTGAACTCATCTGGGACTGCAACGGTAGCCATACCACTCCAGTCGATTGTTTTGCCACAGCCAGCGAAATTGGACGAGGAACTTTTTTCAGATTTCACGTTCTTTGATCCACGCTTGATAATGCTAAACTTGTTTTTGATCCATTCAAAGCTGAAAGTCGCCAGAACAGAAAACGCCGAATCTCTGATGTCGTTGACGGAGCTGGGGCGGTTTCCACAGGTTGTAGCACCATCACAGCCTTCTACCTTGGTCCAAATCAAACCACAGTGTGGACACTTGCGCAGCTGGGACACACCATGCTGGCTTTGATACCCAACACATTCTACTCTGATATCGTACAGTATCATTCGAAGTTGATTCGCCAAGTTCGCAACATGACTTGCTTCGTCTGCCGCACCATCGCCGTAAAAGGTAAACTTATTCTTCTCAGATAACCTCTGCTGGGCCTGAACTATTTGGTCAGTCATGTATGCTTGAAATTCAAAGACAAGATCAACAAGATCCTTGCCAGTGTAACTCTTCCTAGCTTCATCAAAATTTTGCTTCATAGCAGAAAATTGCTCAACTTCTTCTCTAGTAGAGCGAAGAATTTCCCTGTGGTTGCTGTGAAGTTTGAAAAATTTGAAAAAATTCTCGTCATCAACCGTCAGGTTGTGTTTCTTCGTGCAGGTCTTCAGGACGTTGCTCAGCAACGTGTCTCCCTGGGTGTCCATACCTGAGAAGACAACTGTGTCGATACCGAGTTTTCTTTCTACGTCGTGCTTAAACTCTTCCTCCGTCCATTTCACCGTATCCATGTGTGTAACGAGGACTCCCAATACGTCCATCTCGGCGGGTTCCAGGAAACGATTTGCGTATTCGCTTATGTTACGGATAACATTGTCCTTGCGATTCTCAGCTTTAACCACAATAAACAGCCTTGAGACTGGTTTGTAGTTGAATGCTGTTGCTATCCAAACATTGTGCTCCAATTCCTCATCCATTGGGTTGCTTCCAGGTGTATCAGATATGATGAGGCTGCCATCTGGAACACAAACAGCTTCAGATGTCTTCGTGCAACTAGTACTGCAGTCAGAACTCCTTCCCTTCTCCCCGGTAAGTTTCTCGACCAATGTAGATTTTCCTGAACCAACATCTCCTAAGAGAACCACATATTCTGCACTATCAAATTTCCCCATCGAAGTTGATTTCCCTGAAATCGCACAGATGCATTCAAATACATATATAAATAAGTAAAAAAAGGTGTACTCAGAGTTCCTACTTAAGATAAGAACAGAATGTTCTTCACAGCAGAATTATTCATTGTTGGATCAAAATCTACAATTTTATTAGTACTTTTGAAGCATTTTTGCAATGCTTGAAAAAATCACTATCCGGTGGATAGCGCTATCCAGCCTTCGTAAAACCGGCTACTGAAGTTTAAAATTATTTTTTCTCAAATCTGGGTCAAATATTCCTGCTGGCAAATAGTGCAAATAGACCTTATGCATAATGATGTATCAAGCCGTGACGCCTGCAGGGAATTCTGGTTTCAGTAGTCACGGCAAAAAATTCAAACTTCAAAATTACCCGCCGTGACTATTAAGACCAGAATTCCCTGCAGGTGTCACGGCTTGTTACGCCATTATCCATAAGGTCTATTTGGAATGGCCGATCGTGCAAACACGGCGATTTCTACCATTTTTGCAATGGTTGCAAATTCGGCGTTTGCCAGAATTGCCCTGCTTTGCCGACATCAATACCAAACTTGATTTTTCGTCAATGATACAAATTTTTTGTGGTGCGAGATTGTGAGTTTTGTGTAAAAGCGATTTCTCCCGGAACATTCCATTCGTAGCATGGTTTAATTCTTGTAACTTATTTTTTAGTTTTTTTAAGAAAATTCTTTACTTGTTCTTATTCATCTGCAAATTCATGTCCTCTGAGGCTATTTAAAGCAGCAGATTTGGGAAGTTCTTCATGACCACCAACCTTAAAACTTGGGAGAACTTCGCGAAGCCATTCTTAGGTCATGTCGCAATTTGGACGGGATGGTCTTTTGATGCATGCTGATACGGGCAAGAAAGTGTGTTGTTGCCGTTTGACATGAATTTGCAGAGGAATAAGAACAAGTAAAAAACGAATTTTCTCAGCAAACTAAAAAATAAGTTACAAGAAACCATAATTTAACAGGCCATTTCTTGCTGATTTTTCAGAAATTTCAAAACGTTATACTGTGTCTTTAAACGCGAATATCTCGGAAACTACTCGTTCAAACTTCATATGTAAGAATATCAAATTTTAAGTTAGACATTACTCAGTTGAGTAATGTGGATTAAATATGGATTATTTGATTTTAATTCTTTAGTTCGTTTGTAAGTTATGTTGAATTAAAAGTAGGGTTTGAATTTCAAAGCATTCTTTTTTAAGGACCGTATTATTAAGGGGGCGAAACTCATAAGATTTTCAGCTCCCCTAGATATATTATTGGGGTGTACGTCTTCCACGTCTTCCTACGTCTCTGGTGCAGAACACAAACACAGAACTATGTAATCTATTTTATTGACACGTTTACGACTCAATTTTGAATATACTTTTACAAATTGTTGACATTGTGACGCAAATTTCTTTACCAAATACCTGAGTTGTTTTCCAAATTTGTAAATTAACCGATTTACTGGTTTCCACGACTCACGTGTTTTGAACAACTCACACCACTCAAAAATTCTCGGATGCTAAAACCTGTGATGACTTGCCTATCGTTCCCAATTGACCATTGATTTATTGACCACACTAATTAAGCCTGCGCCAGACGGATGTTAACGCAAGTTTCAGGGGTATTTTTTTTAAAGAGGGGAAACAAAGAGAGTGAAAGGTAAAAGGTCTCAGCTGGAGAGCGATCGATATCCATATCAATCGGATGGTGATTTGCAATTTCAGATTGTGATCTGCTAACCAGCGTGCTAATTTGATCATACAATTAAAATATTTCCGTATTGAAATAGTCCTTGGAACAATTAATTTGAACGAAACCCCATGTTATATCGATGTACTTTACCTCTATTCTGGCCAGTTTTATTGCTCATTGCTTGTATCTTTGTTGTTTGTTTGCAGTTTTATTAACAATGATGTCTATATATGCTTCGTAAAAGATTGACTTCTAAATAGAAAATAATGCAAAAAAGTCTACTTTAAGAAGATGGCGGAACTACAGCACATCTCATTGATAGATTTGTAGTAATACATCCCGCTTTGCCTGTATTGGTACTACGTTTGGCCTTAACATCCAATTGGCTTTAACAGACAACAGGATTAAATGGATTTCTAGTGGAAATCATATACAACTCAAATTTACCCTCTGACGAGTTACATTTAGTCGCGACAGGAACTTTAAACAATTTCATTTCAAAAGTTTTCCCTCTCAATACATTGGGATCGTTAGTGGCAGAGTTGGACATTTGGAATAAGTTAGCTATTATTAACTGCTTAAAATGTAGTTTATACAACCAGCCCCAGCTCTTTGACACAAAGATTTTGCAACACGGACTGTTTAAGGGGATTTTGGGTGGTGTGAGTAAAAGGATAGATATTTGTCAGTATGGGTAGGTTTACGATATTTCTATGAACATACGACGTATCCAAAAAAGCCAATTTCCCCTCACTCTCTACAGTAAATTGGATGGCTCGATAGAATTCTATTGATCGTTGCGATAATTGCGATGGATGATATAATAAAATATAATTAATACATAATAATTACATATGTAAGTATATATTATTACACCATGTTGACAAATTCCCGAGAAATTTCTCGCGTTCAAATTATAACGCATATTTGGGCTGCCTATATATATGATTTCAACACGAAGTTGAATGGCAATTTCAACTTCGTGTTGAACGACTAAAAAGGGCAATTTTAAAATATGACTGCTTCAGAATGAATTAACAACGTTATAATTTTTTAATTTTATTATTCATCAAGTATTTCTTCAATTGGGTTTTTAGTTTTCACGAAGCTTTTCGAGTTGTTTATCGGTATTATAGAGTATAATTAACAATAAAAAGGGTTGTTTAGCGACATTTTGTCCAGCAGCGGCGAAGCTATAGATTCGAGGGGAGAATCGAAAAAGAAAACAGTAAATGTACACATAAGGGAGAGAAAACTAACGTCTGTATTGTAAAAAACCATCACCATGCTGCCGACAATTTAAAAAAGTAAATTAAAAACCAAATTCCGAATAGACATGACATAGAGGGTCAATATATGATTCAAACAAGACACTGGTTAGAGAAACTGTAAATTTTCGAATTTAGTTTCAAAGTCATCTTCAGACAGAATGAATGAAGATGGCTGTGAAATAAAGTCGAAAATTTACGGTCTGAACCTGTGTCTTGTCTCAATCATATATTATTGACTCTCAAGATGTCTTGTCCGAATCGGAATTTGTTTTTTACTATCCGAGAAATAGTCCGCATGTGAATTTCTCTTTATTTTGCCGATTTTCTGCATTCAATCCATCATTGTTTACTACACACACGTAGATCAATATTCCGTTTGTATTAGCCACCTTGACTAACGTTAAATGGGGCTTTGAGGAATGAAATCTTTCATATTGTAACTCTTCACTGTATATTTTGATACAAATCTTAATTATACTTCACACTCTCCGGTCGAAATTTATGGAATACAATTGGTATGACGGAGTCATTCCGTGTCGGAGCCACACATAAAAAGCACTGAGGCTGAAGAAAAAAGTGCAGGAAGAGGCCCCTTGCATAAAGGGCCACCCCCCCCAGCATAACTCTTCGACTTTTTTCTTTCGTGGTCGGAGTCACACAGTCCATTTTTTTCAGCCAAGGTAAGTATATGATTATTTACTGATAATTTACTTGGACGATATTCTGTTAATGGCCCCTTCTGTAGCTGCCCTCAATCAACAAACAAATAACGATTCAACTTCTAAAGTCTCTAGGATTCCTAATAAATTACGACAAATCGATGTTAATCCCAACCCAAAAGATTCAGTTTCTCGGTCTTCTGATCGACTCTGTACAAATGTTTTTCATTCCGCCCGAAGCCAAGATACAGGCAATTCGCAAAGAATGCCAACAGCTTGTCAACGAACAACAGCCAACTATTCGACATATTTCCAGCGTACTAGGCCTTCTAGAATTCTGTCGACCAGCAGTCTGGTCAGCTCCCCTGCATTATCGGCAGCTTCAAAATCTTCAGATCAGCGCGCTAAGACAGACACAAAATTACGACCTGCAGGTACGCTTGACTCATGCGGCAAAGACCGACCTGTTATGGTGGATAAAAAATCTTCACTTGTTGAAAGGAAGTCGCATTCTCCCGCCCACGGCAGATGTTACGATAACGTCAGACGCATCGACGATGGGCTGGGGCGCTTCCTTCGGAGCGCTAAGAACAGGGGGAAGGTGGTCACAGGTGGAAACCCAGGACCATATAAACATCTTAGAGCTGAAAGCAGCCTTTTTTGCTCTAAAATCCTTTGTGAAAAACGACACGAACAAGGTAATTTGCCTAAAGTTAGACAACACTACAGCAGTAGCGTACCTAAACAATATGGGGGGCACTCATTGCCCTCGTCTGCTACAACTGACCTTGGAGATTTGGAAATGGTGCGAGAAAAAACGCATATTCCTTACTGCACAACATATCCCAGGCAAATTGAACACAGTCGCGGACATCGAATCTCGGACTACACGAGATCTGAACGACTGGAAACTCAAGACACGGTAATCAAACCATTAATCAGGGGTGCCAGTTAGACCTATTTGCGTCACGTCTGTCTCATCAACTGGACCAATTTGTTAGTTGGAGACCCGACCCCCAAGCGGTCCATACCGACGCTTTCACAATGAATTGGGCCAACCTCAACGCGTACGCCTTCCCCCAATTCAACCTGATGAATGCAGTTTTACACAAGGCAAAAACGGTCAAGGCAACTCTAACCCTTGTAGCGCCCCTGTGGTCAGCTCAACCTTGGTGGCCCCTGTTAATTGGGATGCTAATCGAGTACCCGATCTATCTGGGAAACGATCCGGACTACTGACCGACGTGACCAATCCAGGAAGAACTCATCCTCTGTTCCCTGCACTCAAACTAGCCGTATAGCGAATATCAGGGAACAATTCACTGCAACAGGCCTTTCAAGCCACGGCTGTTGAGCTCCTCGCAAATAGCGTCAAGGCCTCAACCACCAAATCTTACAACTGTTCGTGGACTCAGTGGAGTCGCTGGGGTAGTGAACGGCAAAGTAATCCCCTACTTTGTCCAGTAGAGGACATTCTAACCTTCTTAGCGGAACAATATTCTAAAGGCAAACAATACAGAACAATCAGTGTTCTCCGCTCAGCAATATCTTCGGCACATGTCTACATAGATAATAAACCAGTGGGTCAACATCCATTGGTGATTAGATTAATGAAAGTCATCTCAATTTCCCGACCACCACAACCCCATTATCAACACACCTGGGATGTACAATAAGTGACCACCTATTTAAAAGGACTTGGCGAGAACGCGTCCTTAACATTAAAACTACTTTCACAGAAGTTATGTATGCTAATGGCATTAACATGTCCAGAAAGAAGTTCCATAATGGCTTCCTTAGATGTAAGATATATGCGCAAATATCCTGAAGCCCCTCATCGGACAATACACAGGATTTGCTATTTCTAGGGCTCAAGAAACCACATAAGCCGGTTACATCGGCTACTCTCTCACGTCGGCTCAAAGATGTCCTTTATCAGGCAAGGATTGCAGAAAACATATTTAAAGGACACTCGGTACGAGGCGCATCGACATCAGCAGCAAAGCAAGCCGGCCTGGATATCGCTACAATATTGTCGATGGCCGACTGGACGAACACGACAACATTTGATAAATTTTATTATAGACCATCTCTTCCTATTACGTTTGGGACATAAATAAATAAATGAATGAATAAAAATAAATAAATGGGAGTATAAATAAATAAGGTTTTTTTTGCCTTTTTGTTGGTCTTATAGAATTGTTGTTCGTCTGCTTTACAATCTACCAATTGTATTCGATACATTTCGACCGGATTTAAATTATACTGATTTAAATTATACCAGCGCAGCGAAGCGGCGCGCCCGCATAATTATGATGATACGGGCGCGCCGCGAAGCGGCGCTGGTAAAATTTAAATTAAAATTGTTTCTGAAGAAGGGCGCTTTCCTTTATATGGAAGACCAGATCGGTCTTGTGGTACTTCAGTACAGAAAGACTACTGGTATTTTACAGTGTTTCAAGAGCTCTGCATTCAAGTATATCGTTGTTTACATCTGCCTAGCATGAAAAATGGAGTTTACCGCTATATTCTTAACGAAATACTCTATTACAATTCTAAATATGCCGCCTACGACTAAAAGACTATCTATCTACATTATTAGGACCAATGTGGGCCTGAACGGCTGAAGGATCTAAATTGCGAGTGGAATTGATCCAAATTTGCAGTCCTTTGATACTGCTCGAGTAGAAGCTGACCTACTAATAATAAACTTGACATTCGCAAAAATTTAGTTTGCTGTCGGTACGCCCGAAAAAAATATGTAACGTTAAAATGTCAGACTATTAAGGCCGACACAGACAGGACGCGATGCGGCAACGCGACGCGAATTTTGAGTTTTCATCTAAAATTCTGGAAGTAAAATTTGGAAACTATGGACGCTAGAGCAGTCAAAATGTTTTATTGTTATGTAATCTACAAGAATATTATGATAGTTTAAAATTTATTTGATTTTGAAAAATTAAAAACGTTGAAAATTCGCGCCGCGTTGCCGCACGCGTCCGGTCTGTGTCGACCTTTACTCCGGCGCCAGCGACGGAGTTGAAAATTCGCCTCGGTTTTGTTTTTGTTCTTTTTTTTTCATTTTTCGTCGTCGCAAGTGTGCAATGGCGCAGGTAATGGCGCGAAATATAGTAGTATTTGAAATGTGTGTGTGGCCGTATTTATCTTCGTCCCAGTTTTGTCTCCCAAGAGTTGTGGTGCACAGCTTTGGCTAATTTTCCGATGCGCGATTCGATTTCGCTCGCATGATACGGCAATTCCTCCAAGGGGGTCAAATAAACCGTTCTTTTCATGCTGTTCGATTAAGTTTAGATTGAATTGGGGTAAGAATATATTTAATACATGTAGATTCTGGTCTAATTTTAAAAATATCGCTGCTATTTCGCCGTTTAACAAGATGTGGTCGTGTATGGGCGCGTTGACACGTAGTTTGCACAGGATTGAAGACTCTGGATTGAAGATTTAATATAACTATATAAGCGCGAATTCCAAAGGCAAAGTGTAAGACAAAATGTATCATGCGGTTTATTTACATTTTTCAACAGTTGAACTTCTATACTTTTTAAAGTACGATGTGCCTCTCAATTTCGCGATCGAACATTTAGGTTCGTTAAGGCATCTAAATGAATTTGAACTGTATTGTTTATGTTCAGAAGCTTTATATTGAAGACTGCCACGTGCGCCGGAGTTAACGCCAGAACAGGGATCTTGTTAATATAAAGATCTTATTTCAATATAAAGATCAAAGTCAAAGAAGCAAAACACGTATACGCGGGCAATAATTAAAGCCGGATAAAACCTACAAATACGATTTTCACAATGGCATGAAGGCATGGCTTCACTGGCGCTGTTGTATATTGGTTTAACAGCTATTAAAGTTGTACTCCTACTGTCCTACAAGCATACTGTCATCAGTACTCATACGAAAATACTTCAGGAAGTTTATATAAAATATATCATAATCGAGAAAAGATGTATGCTAAAAACCTGTGAATTTAATAGCATGGATTTTACAAACTGAACAATATGCTGTATATTTAGGCCAATATTCGTTTGGCTTTCGTTTTTAATTTGCACTAGATTACTGATGATAAGATATAGAGATGTTTAGCCGCAGATGGCTAAAACAAACAATACCTTAACACATTTACAATATTAAAATTTACCTTATTCAAGTAGGAACTGATGTGGTATTGCTTTAGAAACCAGTTAAAAGTAGCGGTGAACTGCGTGAATCAGACTCAATCAGTCCAAGTATGATCAGAGCGCCTCTTTGTCAATTCGGGGAAAAACCCTCAACATTTCAATGGAAACTGGAAAAGTCAACAATACATCCGGCACTCTCCATTTCCTGTTATATAGTTAATTAACTTAGGCTCTGGAAGTCGGTATGATTATATATATCAAGAATTATATTTTGAGAGTTTTAAAACATTGCTTTAAAAGTATCATTTACCTAATACGGAAAGTACCAACTGTAAAATGAAAATCGATAGGCGAAAAAAAAGTGACAAGTCAAGATATGATGGTTGACTTGAGTCCACTCCATCTCCCGCCATCGACTGGGCCTTTTCCCGCCATTTCAGTCATTTTGTTTTTGCGAGGGATATATTTGGAATAAAAAAATTCATTTAAATGTGTTACTCGCGCCATTTTGAATTAAGAATTTTAAAAAAAAATTTTGTGCTAGTCCTCTCCCGCGCGTTCAAACCGGAAACGTCCAAGAATGCAAGACGCTCTAAGGAAGACTAGGGACTAGTCTGAGACAATCGTGCGTGCATTGAGGCCTAGGGTCTAGGCTGTCGCGCAGTAAAGGACTGGGTACGAATTTAACCATCATTTTTTTTCTCGCCTATCGATTTTCATTTTGCAGTTGGCACTTTCCGTATTAGGTAAATGATACTTTTAACGCAATGTTTTAGAACTTTCAATATATGATTTTTTTATCTTGACCAGTATTTTTTCTTTCTCTACCATTAAAACTTTTCTGGACCCGTTTCATAATTGAATAGCAAAACCCTAAATCTCACCTGTTATTTATTTAATTTCAACAAACATTTTTCATTAATTAATACTTTAGACACGTTTGGCATGCCATAATTAGGCTCTCAGGCACTGATTTATAGCTAATATAACTAATGTATACTACTATATAACTAATGTGATGAGGCCAAAGGTTCGACTAGGGTTTGAGGCCAAAGGTTCGGCGCAGGTAAGTTTGCTTACTATACGGGGATTATTGTGGTAATTCATTAATCGAGTTTGACTTTGAGCAATAATTATGAAATAACAAGACGCCTGTTGTGATGTTAACGTGCTGTAAGTTGACGAACTGGTGAAGATACTCGTGGCTATACTTTTCAGGCTTCGATATCCTGGTAAATTGATGTCGTTGCCAGTAATTTTATTTCACTTATGTACTTGTTCAGCCAGTTCAAGATTGAAAACCTAAAGACAAGATTGAAAACCTAAAAATCATATCATTTTTTTTGTAGTGAGAGGCTTTTATTGTAAGAGGTTCAAAATTTTCAAAATTATTCCATGAATTGTAAATGCACATGCTCTATCGGCATTAGGTATACCAGAAAAATTCTAGCATGAGTACACCATCGAAGTCAGTAACAATTAATACAGTGTTGAATTCGAGGTGAGTGGAATTGGTAATTTGCCTTTTAAATACCAGAATAGCCTCCCCACGCAACTGGATAGAAAGTTCTCTCAGTCGTTCAAAAATAGAAACACATTTTACCTCAAAAACAGTAAAAAAAATTGCTAAGATGCATGTTTAATCTCTGAAAAGCGTGTTCACTCGTGCTCGATCTAGTTCCTCGATATCATAGGACTATGGTAACACTACCGCTATGGTTTCTCGATATCACTATATTGTTTTAGCATTTTTGTAAAAGTGAATATACTAAATCCTACATATTGATTGAGCAAATTTGACGTATTATGCTGTTATATTTACCTTCGCCTTCGGGTGAATATAACAAAACGGAAATTGCAGTTGACGTTTCTTACAAAGAGATGAGCAAGACAAGAAAATGCCGTCGCCAAAAACACAAAAGATGCGACAAAATTTGCATTGAACCTTTTTCGAGGTATGATTTTTTATATTTACACTATCCAAAATGATACATTCAAAAATTCAAAACTTTATAGTACGAAGAGTAATGGCTTTACCGGTTTACAATTTGTCAAAAATATTTTTGAAAAGAATGGTATGCAAAACAAAGCAAATTCACCTGTGTTTTTGAAGATATGGGCATACGTAGAGACGAATGACCTGCTGTAAATGAACGCGATTGGACGTTGAACGTTTGTTGCACGCTTTTAATGCAAATTGTAATTTAATCACATGGTGTACGTGCGTTTCCGTCGCCCTGTAGTGCAATTCACTTGTGCAAAAACACTAAAACGAGCCTTAGGCTCGGTGATTATCGGGGAATATTCTCCTCGTCTTCGGCGAATAATTGTTAAATGTCAAATGTTTGACGAAAATTTTCAGCAATATCATGTATGAAGAATGTATGCAGTAAATTTGACAAATTCAAATGAATATTATACCTCAAAATAAACCGTGTCAATCACAAAACTTGTTTTATACCACATGACAATGGTATTTTTTAGCGAATACTGTGCCGTGGGCAGCTCGTATGTCTGGATGTTTTCCCCGGGGCGTAGAATTCATAGGATGAACGAAGAATGTCAACCCTGTCATGGGGCTCAATAAAAGGCATCGATCATTCATTGCTAACAATCAACCGAACCTCTGGACTGAGTGATTTGTTTCACGGAGGTTTATAAACACCAGCTAAGTTGATTAAATCTGTTTGGAAATTGGAATTATTTAGCGAACACTGCTTTCTTGCATGTCTGAGCATTTTAACACTGTTCTATATGCTAGATTCTTTGTTACTAGGTATAGTTTAACCAAAAGACCGACTGTCTGTATAGCTAATCCATAAAGTTGTTATTTCAGAAATTTTTTGAAGGATGTTGATTCCAAATTGCCCAAATTCGTCCCTGTTTTTAGACGAAAACGGAATTTTTGGACCTCCCGAAAAATCTGGCAAAAACAGAGATTTTTATGCTTTGCTAATCGTTAGTATTTTGTCACTGTTAATAATTGCACAGAAAATATTTACGTTCATCATGCAACCTTTCAAGGCGATAGTTGATTTTGAGGTGAATTTTAAACGTGCATGTCACCTCGGCAACGATCTATGCTAAACGTAATGTAATTTGAAAGTAGAGACACTCACAAAAAAAAAAAATTCCTATTACCTTTAAATATTTTATAGTGTAGTAGTTTGAACACCTCGAAGTGATGAGCACATCCCAGGCGACTATCGTATAGCTTAAAATTGGATGTCGCGGTGTCTGTTGAGACACTAATAGTGTTAATAGAGCACGAGGGGGTGATTATACATTTTGTAATTATCCACCAGTATTTTATCAATAATATCTTTCCTCAATGTTTTGTAGATGTTAAAATTGTGTGTTATTCACCTAATCAATGCTACCGGGTATTGCAATTGATGCTGGAGGTGAATTAGAGCACGTTTGACCTAAGATATATGCAGTCCTTGATACTTGATCTATGATACATGCAGTCCTTGGTAAGGGATGCGGCAATAAAAATTATCTTTGTCTATTTTAAAAGAACGTCATGATTATGTACAAAATTCTTTTACGGATTTTTGTTAACTTTATTACTTCTCAAGATATTTTTGAATATCTTCATCCGCCATTTTGGATATTAAAGTACAGATTTTTAATTCAGATCTTCGGCAGCAATTTTTCGTTCCGATAATAACTTCTAGTTCAATATAACAAACATACCATACGAATGATACGATACGCCTTTATACTAAGTATAACCTATGGTATGTTTGTTATATTGAACTAGAAGTTCCATACCTCCTGGGCCTAGCTAATACTTAGGCCCAGGAGATATGAGCCTCCCCATTATTTATAGAACAAGACGCCTGTTCTGGCGTTAACTCCGGCGCACGTGCCAGTCTTTAATATAGAGCTTCTGAACATAAACAATACAGTTCATATTCGCATTTAGATACCTTGCGAAACCTATAATTATAAATGTTCGATCGCGAAATCCAGAAGCACATCGTACTTTAAAAAGTATAGAAGTTCAATTGTTCAAAAATGTAAATAAACCGCATGATACATTCGCTTTGTCTTACACTTTGCCTTTGGAATTCGCGCTTGTATAGTTATATTAAATCTTCAATCCTGTGCAAACTACGAAGTGTCCACGCGCCCATACACGACCACATCATCTTGTTAAACGGCGAAATAGCAGTGATATTATTAAAATAGGACCAGAATCAACATGTATTAATATATTCTTACCCCAATTTAATCAAAACTTAATCGAACAGCATGAAAACAACGGTTTATTGGTTCCTCTTGGAGGAATTGCCGTATCATGCGAGCGAAATCGAATCGCGCATCGGAAAATTAGCCAAAGCGGTACACCACAACACTTAGGAGATAAGACTGGGACGTAGACAAATACGGTTACATACACATTTTCAGTACTACAATGTTTCGCGCCATTTCAGTGGCGGCTTTTCGGGGCGGTTGTCGTGCGCTTGTCATCACGTGGAAATATAAATCAACACAAATCGTCCTTTGTTGTGACTTCAAGCAAGTTAAACCGCTCAATAAAACGAGTGCTTCGTTAGAAATCGTTAAATTCAGTGTTCACTTGCGGTTAGCCAACGAAGTGGCAAAAACGAAAATTTTCTATGACCGCCATTCGTATTGACTCTTAAAAATCATTGTCATCGGATCAGATGGCATCTTAAAGTGGTTACCTCATTTTAACTTGCGATTTCTGTGTGAATACTTGACCGATTTTAATAAAAATAGAACCATTTTAAGGAGAAAATTCTCCTGAGATACATTCTTTTTTTAGATCGATATGTTGCCAATTCGCCATAATATTCACTTGAGTTAAGCGCGTGCTTACTACGTGCTCGGAATGTTGTAGCGCGGTTGGAAAAGGCGACAAAACTCTATGATACCCTCCCCCTAGGGTAAATTTCACCCCAAAAATTGATTTTGGATGTAAAATTGGACCAAGGGGTCAGTTTTCAGCTTTTTTTGCCAGATTTTTTTTTCGATATTTGTATTATAGTGAAATAGTATTGCCGGTGATGTGATAATTCATATCATCATGCATGTTTATATTAAAAAGTCGGCAAAAATCCTCTAAAGGCTCGATTTTGACGCTAAAGATATCAAAATAATCCAGAGAATGTGAACTAACTGTAGTAACTCACTGTAACCGTTTTAGTTTGTATTTTGCGCAATATTTTATAGATTAGGTGTGCTTTGATATGTAATATTGAATAATAAATAAATCGCATGCATATTAAGCCTGCAGCACACGAGAGTTATCTGCTATCAGCTGAGCTACGAGTTACTCGTGCCTGTTAGCGCAGCCGACAGCTCACTGTGTGCGGATAGATTTTTCTGAGTTTTCCGCCACATGCAACCTTTTCTCGCATATCAAGCATGTTTGATACTATTTAAATCGTCTTTTCAAGCTCTATCGTTTGGCGGTATTTCGGGGTCTTTAGCCCAAATACTTGCCGAGATATTTAGTTTTCTTTCTTCCCGTCAATACCGGCGCGGCTCGAAGCCAGTTTTTTTGCCCTGCAGGCAATATGACGGAAATAACCTTGCAGGGGTTCGCAGACGCAGGTAACTTCCATATATAGAACGTATACCATATATGGTTTTCGCCAGAATGAATGACAAAAATCGAGATTTCGCCTCATATAGTGCCCAGACTCCGAGGCGTACGCGGCCAATCTTCAGATTAGTGTACTGGCTCGCTGCGCTCGCCAGCAATAAATCATATTATTATGTTAAATACATTTTACTCGTAATTTCAAGCCTTTTCATTAATTCATCAATCATAGTCCCTTAAAGATCAAGTTATTGCCATTCGGGATTTTAAAGCGCTCGAAGAGTCGAAATATACGGTGGCCGATACGTGTCACCACATTAATATTTACAAGAACACATTACAAAGTTAGAAAACACATTCACATATCAAAATTCTCGTTACACATTTCCAAATTCTCACTACACATTTCAAACTTCTCACTACACATTTCAAAATTCTCACTACACGTTTCCAAATTCTCCCTACACATTTCAAAATTCTCACTACACATTTCAAACTTCTCGCTACACATTTCAAAATTCTCACTACACATTTCAAACTTCTCACTACACATTTCAAAATTCTCACTACACGTTTCCAAATTCTCCCTACACATTTCCAAATTCTCCCTACACATTTCAAAATTCTCACTACACATTTCAAAATTCTCACTACACATTTCCAAATTCTCCCTACACATTTCAAAATTCTCGCTACACATTTCAAAGTTCTCACTACACATTTCCAAATTCTCCCTACACATTTCAAAATTCTCACTACACATTTCAAAATCCTCGCTACACATTTCAAAGTTCTCACTACACATTTCCAAATTCTCCCTACACATCTCAAAATTCTCACGACACATTTCAAAATTCTCGCTACACATTTCAAACTTCTCACTACACATTTCAAAATTCTCGCTACACATTTCAAACTTTTGAAATCGACGGGTACTTCATGTTATTTATAATGGTTTGAAATATTACTCTTATCGTTCTGGCCTTGGTATGTCAGGATGATGTCGCCATGTATTGCACCTCATGCGGAAATCGACTCGAAGAAAATCACATATTTTGCTCTTCTTGTGGTACTAATGTCGGAGCTGCAATTCAAAGAACTACTGACGAGAGAGAAGTAATAGAAAGCTACGTTCTAGCTGGTTATAAATACGAAACAATTTTGTGTTTATTGTATCAGTACCATGGCATTGATATTTCAATGTCAACACTTCAAAGAAGGTTACATGATTATGGCCCACAGCGAAAAAACGCACAAGAGATTGATGATGATGAAATTGCTACAGTCATTGGTCAAGAATTGGAAGGTCCCGGTTGCATATCAGGATATCGAGCTATGTGGCACACTCTCAGGCCTAAATATGGCATGAGTGTATCAAGGGATAGAGTTCAACAAATTCTCAGAGAGCTTGACCCTGTTGGAACGGAAGAGAGAAAGAGACATCGTCTTAAACGTCGAAACTAGCCACCTTAGCCATCCTTAGCCCTACTGAGACCATCTTAGACCACCTTAGTTCTGCTTAGACCACCTTAGACCTCCTTAGACCACCTTACACCACCTTAGCCGTCCTTAGCCCTCCTTAGCCGCCCTTAGCCCTCCTTAGCCGCCCTTAGCCTTCCGTAGACCACCTTAGCACGCCTTAAACGACCTTTGTCCTCCTTAGACCATCTTAGACCACCTTAGCCCTCCTTAGACCACCTTAGACCACCTTACCCCTACTTAGACCACCTTAGCGTTCCTTAGACCACCTTAGACCGCCTTAAATGACCTTAGCCCTAAGGAGACCACCTTAGCCCTCCTTAGACCTCCTTAGACCACCTTAGACCACCTTAGCCGTCCTTAGCCTTACTTAGACCACCTTAGCCGTCCTTAGCCTTACTTAGACCACCTTAGCCGTCCTTAGCCCTACTTAGCTGTCCTTAGCCCTACTTAGACCACCTTACACCACCTTAGCCATCCTTAGCCCTACTTAGACCACCTTAGCCCTCCTTAAACGACCTTAGCCCTCTTTAGACCACCTTAGCCCTTATTAGACCTCCTTAGACCACCTTACACCACCTTAGACGTCCTTAGCCCTACTTGGACCACCTTAGCCTTCCTTTAGTTCCTTAGACCACCTTAGACCTCCTTAGCCCTCCTTAGCCGCTCTTAGACCTCCTTAGACCACCTTAGACCGCCTTAGAACTGCTTAGACCACCTTAGTCCTCCTTAGACAACCTTAGACCACCTTAGCCGTATTTAGACCACCTTAGCGTTCCTTAGACCACCTTAGACCTCTAGCTTTAGCCCACCTTGAACCTCCTTAGACCACCTTAGCCCTGCTTAGACCATCTTAGCCCTGCTTAGACTGCCTTAGCCCTCTTTAGTCCTCCTCAGTTCTCCTCAGTTCTCCTCAGTTCTCCTTATTAGTCCTTATTAGTCCACCTAATTTTGAAATGTGCGGAGAGAAGTTTGAAATGTGTAGTGAGAATTTTGAAATGTGTAGTGAGAATTTTGAAATGTGTAGCGAGAATTTTGAAATGTGTAGTGAGAATTTGAAATGTGTAGCGAGAATTTTGAAATGTGTAGCGAGAATTTTGAGATGTGTAGTGAGAATTTTGAAATGTGTAGCGAGAATTTTGAAATGTGTAGCGAGAATTTTGAGATGTGTAGTGAGAATTTTGAAATGTGTAGCGAGAATTTTGAAATGTGTAGGGAGAATTTTGAGATGTGTAGTGAGAATTTTGAGATGTGTAGCGAGAATTTTGAAATGTGTAGCGAGAATTTTGAAATGTGTAGCGAGAATTTTGAAATGTGTAGCGAGAATTTTGAAATGTGTTCTTGTAAATATTAATGCGGTGACACGTATCCGCCACCACCACTTATCCACCACCGAAATTTCAGCCTGTTCTTAAAATAATTCTGATGCGTCATAAGCACAGGCCAAGCTGAAACTTGTTATGTATTTGAAAAATACTTTAGTTTACTTTAAAACTCAGCCCGGGCTAAAAAGACACCATTTAATCAGCCCTAGTTAACGGACGTACAGACTCAGATAAAGTAATTGGATTACATTGAGTTATCATATCATTGAGTTATCATAGCTCTTAGCGTTCAGAAAAGACAAATGCTATATTTGGAATAGGAATTTATAATAGTTTATTTTTTAGAAAAGTGGGCCACAGGCCACAGATACAGCAGTTTCCATATTGATTCTGCTCATAATAATGGTGGGTTGTTCGGTCGAAATTAGTCCAAATTTAGCATGTTTCGTTTATTCTCGAACATAACAGTATTTCTGTCATAGCGATGCAAAATGTAAACATGCGTTTGTTTACATTACTGCCTGTATTCCACCTTTTTAATAGATATAGCGTGTCAAAATGTAAACAAAATTTTGCATACATTACAGACTGTTCGCCATCTTTGGCAAGGGGATAGCTATGGCTCTCTCTCACTCTGATATAGCGTAAGCATGCATCACGACAAGGAAATGCGAAAATGCATGGAAAGAAACGGTAAAACTTTCCAGATTACTTTACATATAGAAAAATATCACACACATGCAATTATTAGAATCTCTAGTCAAGCAATCTAATCTTAATTATTGTTTTATGTTGATCCATGCGGTCTTGCAGTCTAAAAGTTAGTTTAGACTTTAGCTATTTGTAAATGCTTTGAAACAAAAAAAATATGTTTCGTTTATACAGTATATATTAATTCCGCCTATGTAAAGACAAAGATAATTCTATTCATTTTACCTCTAATACATTAGACCAGTATTATGCTAACACAATTATATTTCATGAACTCCGGTCGAAATATATGAGAAAACAAGCGGTATGGCTTACCTATTTGTGCTTCTGATCACCTTTAAACACTATGGGTACACCCCAAAGTAAGCGAAAAATGCACCCACAGGACCCCCTGAAGGGTGCCGTCCCATAATACCCCTGTGGCTTTTTTACCTTGTGCTTCGCTCACCGACAGGTAAGTTTTTACAGAGGGTTTTTTGGTCTTTTTTTTGTCTTTTTTAGGCAATCTTTTCCATTTTTTAGACCTTTACTAGATACCTCCACTGTTTTGGCGAATTATGTCTAGCCAACATATTCGTAAACGCTCTCGTTCTCGAGATTCGTCGCGTCATTCGTCGCATGCGAAACGACACAAGTCTTCACGCTCTAGCGACGAGCGTCAGGAGATGTTCAGTACTATTTTGGCTAATCTAAAGGATTTAAAATCCGATATAAGCTCGTGTAAGGCGAGAATATGCGACTTGGAAAACCACAGCTCGTTTAATGGCGTCTCAGAGCCTCTGCAAGACCAAAGCTTTGAGCGTGACTCTGACACACTCTCCGTTTCGGCGGGAAACGATTTCGACCGCCCAGACTCGTTACAACAGGATCAAATGGCTACTCAGCCACCAAATTCGGCTATTCAGCCACCAAATTTGGCTATTCAGCCACCAAATTCGGCTATTCAGCCACCAAACTCGACTAATCAGGCATCAATACCAACAGCTATCAGCGCTCAAGCGGAGACCCTCCAGCAACAACCGGAAGCGACAGAGAATATTCCAGCCAGTCTTTATGACCCTGAAGCCTCGGCCACTTCTTGGGCCCCCTCTAGTGAATTTACTACCTTTTTGGAAAAGAATTTCCGAAGAAGGCTATCCTACGACCAAGTATGTGACATACTTGACGAACAGGCCGTTCCCGCCGTAGATGCACTTTTGGCTCCAACTTTAGACCAGTCCATGTTGCATCACGTCGCTCCTCAAAACAAAAAATTCCTTCAGGAGCGAGACAAGGAATTGGCTAACGTCCAACGATCTATGCTTAACGCTACTGGCCCATTGTGTTCACTGCACGACCAACTCGAACAGGGCGGTAATCTAGCTCCATCGGAGCTAAAAATAATTTTGGAGCAAACGCTTTGCCTCTTGGGCTCCGCCAATACACAACTGTCGACTTTACGTCGCAAAAAAATACTTGCCTCTATTAACAAATCGAAAATCGACCTAGCAAATCAACCCTTGCCCAATGCAAGGAAATCGCTTTTTGGCGAGGATTTCCCGTCTATCGCCTCTAAAGAGGCAGAATTATCCCGCGGCCTCGCTAAAAATTTGGCACCATCAAAGGCGGCTGACAAAAGTAAGCCTCACTACCCAGGGCCGCGTGACTCAAGGTACTCAAACCTCCCGTCCAATAATGCTTCCTCAAAAAATGGGAAATATCAAAATTTTCGTCAACGGCCAAAATTTTTTCGTCCCTCCGGCTACAGCCACAGCAGCGCAACTCCCACAGTTCATCGAACAGTGGAAAAGCATAACGTCGGACCCGAGGGTGTTAGAAATTGTTTCAGGAATAAAAATTATTTTTCGTTGCGTTCCTTTTCAAATGTTGCCTCAGGTGACAAAGACACTTCCGGAGACAGTCTCCATTTTAGAACAAGAGGTTCAGACCCTTCTAGAGAAGGGTGCAATACGGGAAGTTCCCTTCACAAAGGACGGGTTTTACAGTCGGTTGTTTTTAGTCCCGAAAAAGGACGGCAGTATGCGTCCCGTTATAGACCTAAGTCACTTAAACCGCTTCATAGAAACCTCTCATTTTCAGATGGAGCACTTAACAACAGTGAAGTCTCTCTTGAGACAAGGCCATTTTATGACCAAATTGGATTTAAAGGATGCCTACCTTTCGGTGAGTATCCACCTGCAGAGTCAGAAATTCCTTCGATTTTTATGGAACAACAGAGCGTATCAGTTCCGTTCTCTCCCATTCGGTCTGAACATAGCGCCTTCGGTGTTCACCCGCCTGATGAAACCGGTAACAGGGTTTCTGCGAAAACGGGGCATACGCCTGATCCTGTATTTGGACGACATGTTACTGATAGGTTCCACCCATCAGGAAGCCCATCTATTCACTCAGATGGCCATGAATCTCCTAGAGTCTCTAGGATTCACAATAAACAGGGAGAAGTCGGTATTAACTCCTACTCAAGTTATAACATTTCTCGGTTTCACGATCAACTCGTTAACAATGCTCTTCACTCTTCCTCCCGAGAAAATTCAGAAATTACTGTCTCTATGTCGACAGATTCGCTCCGCCGACAAGATTCCACTTCGATCTCTAGCCCAACTTCTGGGCCTGCTCGAATCATACCGCACAGCGGTTTGGAAAGCACCCCTTCATTTTCGACACTTACAAGCCCTCCTCATCAGGGGCCTCAGTCAGTCGAACCACAACTACGAGACTCAAGTTCCATTATGCTCCCAAACCAAAGAGGAGATCAATTGGTGGCTGAAGAATTTGACATATGTAAATGGGAGCCCAATTGTTCTCCCAACACCCGATCTAACAATCTTCACCGACGCTTCCTCGAAGGGCTGGGGGGCAGTTCACGGCAATGCTCGGACCAACGGAAGGTGGTCTGCCACAGAAAGACTCTTACATATAAATGTGCTCGAATTGAAGGGTGCGATGCTGGGAATTCAGTCTCTCTTCAGGAGACAACGTTCGAAGATAATATCCCTGAACATGGACAACTCAACCGCAGTTGCGTACGTGAATCACAAAGGTGGAACCCACTCTCCGGAACTTCTCAAAGTAACGCTAGAACTTTGGGATTGGTGCATCAAACGCAATCTCTATGTAATAGCATATCATGTACCGGGGAAAACCAATGTGATTGCAGATCGGGAATCCAGGGATTTTTGGGACAACAGCGATTGGATGATAGACCCAGTAATTATTTTCCCTTTCCTGAAGGGCTGTTCCACAGACCTGTTCGCCTCGCGTCTCACTCGTCAACTGCCCAATTACATCAGTTGGAGGCCGGATCCCGGGGCACTTCACTCGGACGCATTCAGTGTGGATTGGAAACACCTAGAAGGATATGCTTTCCCCCCATTCAACCTAGTACCACGAGTTCTCAGCAAAGTAGTGTCGGACGAGACGGAAGTGGTTCTTGTGGCTCCAATATGGCAGGCACAGCCTTGGTGGCCCCTTCTACTCGGTCTGCTAGTGCGGCATCCCATTCTCCTTCCATCATCAACGAAACTTCTGATAAATCCGACAGACCCTCATCAGATCCACCCAATGAACCCCCGGCTCCATCTGGGCGTGTTTTATATCTCAGGCAACGATATCAGGCAGAAGGCCTTTCGGAAAATGTTGCCCAATTACTCATCTCAGCAACTCGACGTTCCACTCAAAAAACATATGACTCCAGCTGGAAACGCTGGTGCAGCTGGTGTCTTTCAAGGGAAGTTGATCCTTTTTCAGCATCTCTGAGGAATGCCCTCTCCTTTCTAGCAGATTGCTTTGACGAGGGTCTCCAATACCGATCAATTAATGTATTACGTTCTGCGTTATCTTCTACGCACCCCAAGATTGATGGGTTTGCAGTCGGACAACACCCTTATGTTCTTAATTTAATGAGGGGTATCCTCAACAATCGACCCCCTAGACCTCGATACTCATATACATGGGACGTGCACCAGGTAACAAAGCACATCAAACAGATAGGTAACAATTCTGCTTTATCGTTAAAGCAACTCTCTCTTAAACTAGCAACATTACTGGCTATCACATGCCCTAAACGTGTCTCCTCACTCTCAAAACTCGATTTGAATCATTACCGGCTTTCTCCGGAGGGCGCTATTTTCACGTTAACAACTCCAACTAAAACATCTCGTCCAGATGAGACGGTTACAGCTTTCTTCGCCAGCTTTCCACAAGATGTGACATTGTGTCCAGTAGACTGCCTCAAGTCGTATATTACGCTCACAGAACGAGTTAGGAGGAAGACCACAGAGGAACCTAAAAACCTGTTTATCTCATACATTAAGCCTCATGGTGTAGTAACCACAGTCACTGTGGCTCGTTGGATACGTTCGTTTCTAAAAGAAGCTGGGATTGATACATCTATCTTCAAATCACATTCAGCTAGAGGCGCAGCTACATCCGCGGCAGCTAATGCACTCGTACCATTGGAGGAAATACTAAAAATGGCGGATTGGACTAATGCCAAAACTTTTAGACAGTTTTATTACAAACCTGTTTTTTCAACAGACTTCGGACATGCTGTGCTTTCATAGTCATGTACATTTTATTGTTCTTCCTTAGGGAGCTTTGTGTAAATTGTAGTTACAGAAGTTATTAAACGCTCTCCCTTCGTTGACTCATTGTAGTGTTGAAGTCTACCGCTTGTTTTCTCATATATTTCGACCGGAGTTCATGAAATATAATTCCAATTATACAAGGGCTGTAGGCCTGTTAGTATAATTGGGGTTATATGAGTGGACGAAGGGAGAAATATATGAGTCCCACCACGTTAACCCCCCCTGCAGAGTGGTGACTACGCTAAGTGTTAAAACGCCACAGGGGTATTATGGGACGGCACCCTTCAGGGGGTCCTGTGGGTGCATTTTTCGCTTACTTTGGGGTGTACCCATAGTGTTTAAAGGTGATCAGAAGCACAAATAGGTAAGCCATACCGCTTGTTTTCTCATATATTTCTCCCTTCGTCCACTCATATAACCCCAATTATACTAACAGGCCTACAGCCCTTGTATAATTGGAATTAGCTGAATATACATAGATATAATTGTCATCGATTCAAATATAAGCCCGTCCACTAATGATCGAAACCTTTTGTCTAAAGTTTAAATTAGTCTCCGCATGCAAATTTTCCACTTTACTGTCCTGCATGTGCGCTTACCATGGTGACATATTGTTTAGAATATGTTTGTGCTCTGAGTCTTTTTTTTTTCTCGAATTTCATTCATCATACAAGGGAAACCTAAGTTGGGGTCGAAATTATACTGTTTGTTTGAAGACAGTTTGCAATATATAACAGTCAAACTTACATTTTTGCCATATATATGCATTGAGAGAATGCTATTCATTCTCGCGGAGTCGACTACATAGACAAAAGATATTAAAAGGTAAAGTACGTATGATCAAATTATTGTACTAAGGTATAATTTTTTCATATACCAGATCAACGCTGCCACAGTACTGGCCCATATATACATAGAATATTCAAATGTGGTTTTTAGACATGCCACAGCTGTAGTTTTGAACTCCAGTTGATTTATGATGAATATATTTAGTGCATAATTTCGTTTACAATTTCTTTAGTTAACCTTTAATTATTTTACTAAAAACTGATAACGTTTAGGTTCCCACTGATTAAGAATACTGTATCTTTAGAAGATAATCTTTATGCTACCAATCTACATATATCGTTAGTGATTTATATAGATTACATATATTTTGTCATTTCTAAGGATTAAGTTGGAGGAATCTACATAACACTGAAATATTCTAGATGTTGCTACCGAAAAATGAGAACTCAAGTGACAATCTAGAGAAACAAGATGAAACCGAACTAAAAGCATCCCATGCATTTGTTGCTCCAAGTGTAACAACCAACACAGGAAGTAATCCTAAACTGTCTTCAAAGTGTGTTGCCATAACTGCGTTATCTATTCTGAACAAACTACCCAAATCAAGCGCCGTTAGTCAGTTTTCTACCGTGGAAACCTCGTATGCAATTCAGAATTCTGCACGAAACAATGTTAATCTACCAGACTTGAGTGCTAAACGTAGCACAAAAATCACGGCTTTCTACGGCAAGTACTTCACAAAACAATTGACTCCGGGTGGCGTTACAAATAAAATGATAAACGCTACATCCTATAATACCCAAAAATGGCCCCTTGCCAGCGATCATTACCCCGGTTTTAAACCCCTGGGTTTTCGTATTCGTCCAACATTTGGCGAACAGTGCCTGAAAACTGGAATTCAATGGCCGGATTGCCGTGAAGATCCTGGGCCTAGTTTACCCTTCATGGACTTGTTTGACGACCATCCCACGCATGTCAAATCTTGTGAGCCCATGAAGAATAATTCTATGATGAAACCTGTAAAATCCATTTCCCGAAGCAGAAGAAATCGGTTTCCTGCGCTGTTTGATCCGTACAATATCCGCAGAGGGCTTTTGACTTTTGAAGGGAAATCGCGGCCATGCGATATCATCTCGGAAGAAATTCAGTCGTCAGTTGAGTTTCCTAAAGTTAGATCATGTCAGTTAAACGAAGTGATTAAACATGAGCGCGATAATTTAAACGAACGACTTGAAAATGTCGAAAGTGAAGACTGTTCTGATTGTCAGCTATGTCTAAAAGAGATAGAACATCAGGCTCGCGTTAGTGATGCAAACAAATTACCTTCAAGTTCAAACTCACAAAGATATCACATTCGTCTGCCGACGATAGATTAGTGTATCTTTTGTCCGTCATATTTGTGCATTATCGTGATACATCCAAGGAAAACAAGAAGAAATTTTAAGTGTTATGCTAATGTGGACATCTAGATATAGCGCTTTTAAAATCTCGAGATCGGACTTCGTTACTTGTAAAATACATAATTCGTTAGCCACAGTCTACACAAAAGGCTACATTCCAGCTTATTATAGTAACTATTAGTACCATGCACACTTGCAATTTTGCAACTCTACTTTTTTTGCATGTTAATAAAAAGTGTATACAAAGCGTGTCTTTTATTTCTTAATAATACAATACAAAAAAGTGTAAAAAAATAGCAATAGTAAGAATATTAACTGATTATTGACCGAGCGCGAGGTCTGTACAATCGTTATTCGCAATCAGATAACGAAATTTAGCAATTTTAAAGAAAATTATGTACCTAAAGCGGAAAAAAAAAGCAAAAATGAGCTAAACTTATTTCGAGGTAACTGAAAACTCTTGTAGAACGGCGTGCTTAATTAACTTTACTTATTTTATGTATTCTCTACAACACTTAACAGCTGATTGTTTTTTTTTACAAATAATCACCTCAGGCTCGGTGAATATCATTGAAAACCTGAACCTCGTCTTCATCTCGCCGAAGAAGAATAATTGTTAAATAAGTTTCTAATCAGTTTGTTAAATACGTTTTTAACTGTTAAATAGGTTTCTAATAAGTTTCTATACTGCATACTCAGTCTATTAATAATTATTTATACACAGGTGGCGGATTTGCGATCCGCAGACAGGAATTTGCATGATAGATGGTCAGTACAATCAGTTTCAAATTCTTTGTTGCAACAATTATTCACGACGATCATGACAGTTAGTCAGTTTCGAACCGTAGCACTGCGCCACTGCCTCCTGAGAAAATCTGTTCGTGATTGCCGGGAGTTGGTGAATATTGTCTCTATAAAAGTCGGAACAGACTATGAGATGGTAATTAATGTCTCAAATCCTCAAAGAAAAAGTGATATGTTATTTTGTCTAGCAGTGAACTCAAATAGGTTTTTTTCCAACTCACTTTGTTGTCTAAATGTCCACAAAGAGTAATACGTCTACCTAACTCAAGCAAAACCCGGATACAAGGAAATGGTAGTGTTAGGATAAATTTTTCAGTTGCAATTGAAATACGTTTGAGACAAGTTTAACGTTGCGAATCCGGCTTCTCACCTTGAGATGCCAATCTGGATTTTTCAGCTTTTATCCAATTTTTTTATGCGAGGTTTTGGCTTCGTTATCTTTCCTTTGTTCATCGGTTGTTTGTTTCCGAAACAATCTTTTTTTAGGCTTTTGAGCTTTGTCGATTTTTACTTTGTACTTTGGCCATGTTCCCTTCATATCAAATTTGGGATGCGTTTCGTACAATGTCATAACAATCGGGGTTAAAAGTGACGTCAGGAAGGCATTGTTGTTCGTTACTTTCCAGTCCTTCGAAGGGCTAGCCTTCACACGAGCTGACGGGAGGTCGTAACTGAGTTTGGTACTCACGCCGGTTGCTTCAAGATGTATTCCATAGGACGTCGTTTTGCCACGAAAATTATTTTTCGCAGCACTCTCTGGGATTAGAACTGTTAGACATGTCACCAAAAATATTACGCAGTCCTTTAAGTTGTTCTTCGTGAAAGATGCCATTCTTCATTTAAAATAACAATGTCGATTGTTATCTATTTTGTTTAATGTATTATTTTATTACATTATGCGTTTTTGTTCGCCAGAATTCGTCGGAGAAAGTGCGATAAACCACTGTTAAAGATGTATATAGTGTATATAGAATTTACGCCCAATGCCTTATTGTGCTTATCAAGCATTAGGAGTACAAGCTCAACAGGTGGTTGTATTATTTTTCTCAAATGCTGCTGGTACCTTCCGTATATGAATTGTATTTGTGTGAAACGTTAGTCAGGTTATCTAGTTGGAGAAAGTTTAGGTCTATAAGTATGCTGGAAGATCTTGAATTAACTATTGGCGCAAGTAGGCTGAACGGATAAGTATCCTGATCATAAATAGATTGGTTAAATAGCACTTTCTTTGCTCATTGGACCATAAATTAAATGTTAAGTTTTCCCGGAGAACTGAGTCTTCGTTTTCTCAATAAACCTTCCTCGTAGTTCTATCAAGTATCATTGCCTAAAAACATTCAGCTATTTTGAACACATTATAATGCAAATTCGCGAAGGGAAAAACGATCGAAAAAGTCAAAATAGACTGTTTTTCTTCTATTTAATGCCCCTGTTACACGATGCCCAATTTTCCTTTGGAGGCAACTTGCAATGCAATTCTACTTTTAGGAGATGTAAATTAGTAAAGAGTATTTGAAATGTAAGGCCCGTTTTAGACGTCGAACTTTTCATGTGCCGAAATGAACTTAAACAAAGACTTTAGCTCATTAACATTAAGTTCGGCACATGAAAAGTTCGTCGCCTGAAACAGGCCGAAGAACGTCCATACTGAGGCAGGGCCGTAACTAGAACGATAATTGGGGGGTGTTTATTCATATATTCAGTTCTGCCCGACGGATTTCTTTTGTAAGTGCAATAGTGAGCTAATCCGTCGGGCATAACTGAATATATATGAATAAACACCCCCCCCCCCAATTATCGTTCTAGTTACGGCCCTGTACTAAGACATGGTGTATAATAAACGTAAACGTTACGTAGTTGCCAAATATATCTCTCAAAAGTAGAATTCACATTGCAAATTCCATGGAAAAATTGCAGCGTGTTAAGGCCCTGTTACACGGTGTAATTTTTCTTGCAACTTGCAATGCAATTGTGTTTATTACACTTCACGCATTTTTCTTCTGCAAGCTAGACTCTTCACTAATTTACATCTCTTAGAAGTATAGAATTGCATTGTAAGTTGCAAGACTTAGTAACACGGTGTTACAGACAAAAGTCTCGAGAGTAATGACTAATGATCATAAAAGTACTTTGTAAGTTTCCTAAATAAACTGAGAGGAGATATTTCTTAATTTAAATATTTTTATAATAATGACATAAAAAATATTGTACGCTTACAGATCATAGCTAATTTTAAGAATTTTTTATCACTGCACATATGATTACAATAGTATAGTCCCGGGTATAGTAGATTGTACAATTGGTACTAATTGGAAATTGGTAATTTAAAGATGGATGAGATGTAGGGGGTCTGCAGTACCTGCCACAGAAAATTTTCTGTATTTTCAAGTCCCTAATGACTTGATTTCCAGCATTTTGGGGGACAACTACTGACGAATCCGTCTCAACAGAGTGAGTTCTGTTGAGAAAATACCATTTATCACTGCACATTTCTTATTTTATCACTGCACATTCTATTTTATCACTGCACAAATTGAGTTGCGAGATCGATTAAGCGGAGTAAATTACTATAAAGAACATTACCAAATCCAAGGGGAATTGGATTTGAATTTGGAGTTTGAGTTAGTGAGGAGTTCGAGTTAAGCGAGTCCGAGTTAGCGGTGGACTACTGTACTTATCAGGGCCACTGATCAGGGCCTGTTCATATGGGCAAATGTTCCTGACCAACCAAATTTTTTGTTCTGTTCATATGGCGAAACTTTATTTCGCGTTCCCCTGCAAACCGGTTAAAGTCTCAGCTGTGACGTATGCTATTCCTGGTTGAAAGTTGGCGACAAATTAAGAATTTTACAAAGTTGCTGACTACGCAGAAAATCAGCCCTGCAGGCGGAAAAATTACGCTCACATGCATAAGGAAAATATTCTCCTCATGTCATATATTTCCGCTCCACATATATATTTTTCCTCATATAAAATATTTTCGTGTCATATGAAAGCAATCAAGTTTATGGAATTATTTGTTAATGAGGCTAGATCTCGTTGCCGAAAATTTCCCTCGTTAACCGGGAAAACTTTTGCCCATATGAACAGGTCCTCAGAAACCAGGTTCTCGACAAAATTGAATTATCATTACCTACTTTATGATATAACTTCGGCTCTTGAAAATTAATTAGATTAATTTTATTATCTCTTCCTTCGTTTTTTAGTCAATTGTAAGTCAAAAAAGATGATGTAAAGTCCGTTCTGCGCATGTATTCTGCGCAGCAACACATTCCATTAGTGGGGGAGCAAATTTTGGAATGTTGAAGCCGGTTTTCCACTAGCGATATTTTTGCGCGATTCGACATTTTACTTTTGTTCCAGAGCTCTCAACTGCAACCATCTAGAACAAATTGCTGAAATACAAAGGAATAAAATCGTTACAAGAGTATGTAAAGATGATTTAAAGATGATTATGTATGATGTAAAGTCCGTTCTGCGCATATATTCTGCGCATAACAATGTTTCTTTACGTTTGTTATATAGCTTTTTTCTAGCAGCCTTATCTTCGTCACTCGCAATAGACCTTTCTTATAATGACGTCAAACGCGGAAAGTCTGATGTTACACGAAATTTGATTGGCTCCAGAAAATTATCGAGCCAATCAAACTTCGTGTAACATCAGACTTTCCGCGTTTTACGCCATTATGAAAAAGGTCTATTCGAGCCTCTTCGCCTTGCGACGTTCGCCTCGAACCACTGCCCCCAGTGATTGCCCCGAACTGTCCGCCATTTGTAAAGGCCCACATAGACAGGACGCGAATTGGCAACGCGACGCGAATGTTTAACGTTTTTTATTTTTCAAAATGAAATAAATTTCAACCTATCATAATATTCTTGTATATTACATAACAATAATAAATTTTGACTGCTCTGGGCGTCAATAGATTCAAATTTTGCTTCCAGAATTTAATTTATATGCTTCTGAAAACTCAAAATTCGCGTCGCGTTGCCGCTTCGCGTCCGGTCTGTGTCGACCTTAATACAACGCGCTAATATCGCATATCATGAAGGCCGACACACACCGGACGCGATTTGCCAACGCGACGCGAATATGGCGAATTTTTCAGTTTTTAAAATTTACTAAGTTTGACAATGCCATGAAATCCTTGGTAATTACTGAAAGATATACATTTTGACTGGTCTGTTACCTATACCTAGGCTGAATTTATTTGCTTCTGAAAATGAAAAATTCGCGTCGCGTAAGCGAATCGCGTCCAGTGTATGTGGGCCTTAAGGGCTGTTTTCCACTAGGCGAAATTTTGCGCGCAGAGCGGAATTTTTCATTGTCTGCACCAGGGCGTTTATATATAAGCGCCCTGGTCTGCACCATGTGTGTGCGCGCTTTCACGCAGAACTAACGTGAGAAAAACAAAGAAAAATTCCGCTCTGCGCGCATAATTCCGCCTAATGGAAAACAGGGTTGATACTATTAGAAGGAAGAACGAGGAGAAATGACTCCAGGCGTATGATAAACCAGTTTTGTTTAGGTCAGAATCAGAGCAGTGGCTGGTTGTGGTTATCAGGAAATCGATTAACTCTGAGAGGACTGGAAACTAGGTGCAACGGTGCATGCGCTACAGGGTCCGTTATTGTCCATTTCTTCTTTCACTGTAATAAATGCACTCAATGATTAGGAGAATAATGAGAACAATGAGAACGAAGTGCCTCCTGGTCCGAGCCTCCGATATGACATAATAAGAAAAGTATAGAAAATTTATTACTCTGGCGTCAGCGACGGAGTGGAAAATTCGCCTTTTTTTTTTTTTTTTTTATTTTTCGTGGTCGCAAGTGTTTTTGGCGCGAATTATACTGGTATTTGAAAAGTGTATGTGACCGTATTTATCTACGTCACAGTTTTGTCTCCCAAAAGTTGTGGTGCACAGCTCGAAATCCTGGCTAATTTTCCGATGCGCGATTTGATTTCGCTCGCACGATATGGCAATTCCTCCAAGAGGAGCAAATCAGTTATAAACCGTTCTTTTGATGCTGTTCGATTAGGTTTAGATTTAATTCGGGTAAGAATATATTTAATACATGGAGATTCTTGTCTTATTTTAATAATATCGCTGCTATTTCGCCGTTTAACAAGTTGTGGTCGTGCATGGACGCGTTGACACGTCGCAGTTTGCACAGGATTGAAGATTTAATATAAGCGCGAATTCCAAAGTGTAAGACAAAGTTAACACATCATGCGGTTTATTTACATTTTTTTGAACAATTGAACTTCAAATACTTTTTAAAGTACGATGTGCTTCTGAATATCGCGATCGAACAACATTTAGGTTGGCAAGACATCTAAATGAGCATGAGCTGTATTGTTTATGTTCAGAAGTTTTAAATTGAAGACTGGCACGTGCGCGGCACGCCGGAGTTAACGCAAGCACAGGCGTCTTGTTATTGGTAAATTAGGCAAATTGTTATTGTTTAGGCAGATTTAGCATAAGGACGTGAACGTCAAGGAGGACGTGAAAATGGCTTGGCATATCCATATATAGACGCATCACGCCATTTATTCGCCATTTTCACGTCCTCTTTGACGCTCACGTCCTCATGCTAAATCTCCCTAAAATTACGTACAGCTCTTGCCTTTACCCGCATCATTGGACAGCCCGAAGCTTACATGGGCAAAAAGGGTGTAACAGGTGTGTTTGGTCACGTGACTTTGTCTATTTCAACAACACAAATATAGCGTAAAGATGGCTTCGAATTTACAATGCAATAATTTTCATGAATCTTTCGATCTTAAGGAAGAATTAGGAAAGTAGGTATTTGCTTTGATGTATAAGAATGGATATGATGGTTTATCCTTTTATTAGATTGCCTTCAGAACAGATTTCATAAATCGAAAAAGGGATAATTTATATTCGACTTTTGTTATAGAGGGGCTTTTAGCGTTGTACGAAGATGTGTTCACAAAGAAACCAAAGTCGATTATGCAGCTAAGATTATACATACAAGAAAGCTATCTTCCAGAGGTATGTGGAACGTATTATTAGCCATTTGTGTATGCCGATGAATATATTCTTACATAATATTTTTTTATTCATGCAAGTTTATTAAATGCAGAAGGCTTCGAAAATTATATAATATTGTATAGTGTTCACTGAAAAGTACATCTAAAATTTTCAAAATCATTTTATGAGCTGTGAGATATGGTTAGAAACGTATGTTTTGCGCCTTGTCTATGTTTGTACGATGTGATAAAAATAAACTGTGGTCATAATCTGGGCAGGAAGAAGGCATTGAATTTCGGTGTAGCAGAAGCAATATGATCGGATGATCTTTCGACTTCTAGAAACATTTATATGAACACTAGATGGTTTGCGTTCTCTATTGAGTGGGCGACCTTTATTTTTGTATATTTCTCTTGACCTTGCGGTCTAAAAATTTAGCATATGCATTCGGCATTTTGACGCCATTCTACCAAATTCCCAGCTGCCTACACATTCGAACGAAGATCTTACGTTTAGGGTCCGCAGGGCATAAAAATCCGAAATTAGTAAATCCAATTTTAATTTTAGCGATTTCGAAATACAATCCGAAATTGATGTTGTGGATTTTGTCTGTATTGTTGTTTATATAATTTGTCAAAGTTGTTTTGAAATTCTCACCGGGGCGAAAATATATTTCATGCATAACTGTAATTTTCATCTTGCATTAAAGTCTCTGGAAGCATGTCTAGCCTTAAATCAGTGATGTTAGATTGATCTAAAAGCTAAAGGATTTTAACCTATGTAATCATCGACTATATATATACAGTACACAACACTTTACACGAAGCAATTGTCGTTCAGAATTCAGCCTTAACACCTGAAGCTATATTCACTGATCGTTTAAAGTGTATAGATATAAACCAAGTTTTTCTCTCTTTTAGATCTTCAAAAACTCGAGAGAGAAGCTCGTATATGTAGACGCTTAAAGCATCCTAATATTGGTATTTTTCATTAATTTTATATTTTGCCGTTTCTAATGATGTATTTTCATGATAATTTCGTATGCAAATCCGTGATGTCCGAAATTGCTACATTCACGCGGTGTAAATGTATTAAATGTTCCAAGTTTGTTCGAATAAGTTTGAAAATAATCGATATTGTTGCAATTCACCGACTACGCCGAGAATATTATAGAATTTTTTGAAAATCGTAAAATGTTTGAATGTTAGTTTTCTAGAACATTGGAACCTTTTAATCGTTTAAAAGGTTTCTAATTGTGAATTTTAAAAAATATTTTAAATATTTTTCTACGAAAATATCAAATTTTGCTACTTCAACTAAACCTGAAGGCTGTTAAAGCATTATTGGATGCTTTTGAAGTTTTAATTTTTTCCGCTGGGCACAATTTGTTTGACATTTATGGCTTGCTGTGCGGTTAGAAAATTGCGTAGTTAAATAAAACATATGCCACTAATCTGAATTCTTGGATTGCAAATATAGGATGCATTAGAGAGCTCTTAATGAATAAACTAGTTTCCTGTGGCTGACACTAAGTTAGCAGCGAATTGAAAGTGTTTTTTTAATTGTGGACAGAAATGCTTTGTGGGTCCATTCTATTCATGTCAGAGTAAATTAGACTGACCTGTGCAGAAATTCATTACCTGTTTGACAAAAAAATTTTTTGCTATGAACAGTAAATGGTCATTCACAACGAAACAGCATTTCTCTGCTAGGAGAGGCTTAGAGGGAAAATCATGTTAAGACAGATAATACAGCAAAATAAAATAATTTCATCTGCCTTACAATTTATATGTCCAAATATGTTTGTAGTGTTTAGAACTAAACGAATATTCAAAAGTAAACTCTATGATGGTCAGTCTGTGATGGTCTCTGACAAATGTATGACTCCTTGATCTATTTTGTTGGGCCAGATGTTTTCTTATTAAATGAAATGCAAATAAAATATAATTTTAGTTTCATGTTTGTTTAATTCAGCACATATTCATTTAAATTAAATTTGTCTTTTAAACTGAAACCATGCAGGACCATGAATCACTTGGAAAATATAGTTTTAACAATTGGAAAATATAGTTTTAACTGATCTCATTCTGCATGCGAAGTAATTTCTTCCTATATTTACAGCAGGAGTAGATTTCTAGTTGATGATATTTTATAATGGACGCTTGTATGTATGACTTGCTACCTATGGGGCTTTATTTCAAGCATATGTAATACCAAATAAACAAACAGAAAATATGCCTAATAAACACATGAAGCATATGAAGTATATAAAACATACGAAGTATATACATTTCTCTTAGAAGTTTTGAGCACATACAGTTAATGATTAGGACATTAAAGAAGTTAGAAAGTGCAGAGTCCTCCCAACTTAGTAATATTTATAACTAGGGGTCTGCCCCCTGAGCCCTTGTGCAATGTTTTACACCCCTGTATTATTACATCTGAAATAAACTAGACAGCATTGGCTGGTTTATGATGCCTTTACTGGCATTACACAGGCATCACAAAAGCGTAGGTTCGATTCCTGCCAGAGGACCGATTGTTGACTCATTTTTCCATCAACTGTTCTTGGCTTGAATTTGAAGTGTGTATAATTCAACTCGAAATTAAGACCCTTTGAACCTCTAAAATTTATAACAGCCCTTTCCAAACAGATGTACCTTTGTAATTCTTATATGGGCACATGAATTATATTTAAAATTTGAACAACTATTGTTGTCAATATTAGGCCAATTAATTTTTTGAGATCTGTTTTTAAACACTTTATCTGTTTTTAAAAACGATTTTTCTGTTTTTAAACACTTTATCTGTTTTTAAAAACGATTTTTCTGTTTTTAAACACTTTATCTGTTTTTAAAAACGATTTATCAATAGACGAGTGAGACGACTTGTCAAATTATTGCAAATAATTAAGCAAGTTGAGGAACATTATTCTTTGTACCGACTATTACCTTGCCAAAACCGATTGCTTTGCCAAAACTAGGCCAGCTACCATTTCTCTTACGTTACATTTCTTTTACATAATGATTGCAACTTTGTAATCACATAGTAAATAAAATCTGTTAGTAAAGTGATGGTGCTACTCTGTCTCTGACATACCAACCGGACAGGCTGAAAAATTAGTTTGACGACCACGGTGGGAACCCGCGACCTTTGGTTTGATAGTCCAATGCTCTCCAACCGAGCTACTGGATCAAGAGGTACTAGGTTACGACACACAGATATGAAAAGGTCTAGATTGAGTTCCGAAATACCACTTGAGCCGTCTTGACCTGAAGCTGATTTGGAAGAGCATAACAACTACCACTGGCGTTAATTAAACCGCTCTATATTGTATAAACAATACAGAAACAAAATTATTTGGTTTTCTTTGTGGGGATATTGTAGGGCTATTGTTGTTGTCCAAAAAATATTGACCTAACCATCCAAATTCCAGAAAAACTAAAGCTAAAAAGACGAAAGAGGAAAATAATTTGCGAGAGATGAGTTCTATATTTTCCTTAACTGTTTGCACATGAGACTTGCGGTTGAAATTTTCACTACTGCTCTTATGTTATCACTTTTACTCTATTAAAATGAGACACCTCAATAGGACTTCCAACTATTTCGTTATAAAATCCAAATGAAATATGTCACAAGGGAATTGTTTTAATTTTCTTTAGTCCAACTACATGCAAGTATTGCGGAGGAGAGCGTTCACTACTTAGTATTTGATTTGTAAGTATATTGATTTGTAAAAATCAGGTGTAAATGAGATCTATTCCCCCAGTGAAGTTCCCTTTTTATTGAGTGTAAATATTGGCGAAATAACCATGTTCAGAAGTACGAAATATTATTTGCTAATAGAGAACGTTTCCAGCCGAGATGGATTCGTCAATAACTGTCCCATAAATGAAGAAAACAAGGCATAGAGCTTCCGATAGGCAGAAAATTATCCGGGAGAGATCCAATCTCTCCCTTGCAACTCCTAAGTCTTTACGTTATCCCCCTCCCCATTCTTAGAAAAGGTCCTGAGGCTGCAGCATTTCCGTTGATGATTTTAACTTTGAACAGTCGAGCGAGTCGTTAGTGTTATGTTAAAAATTCTCCGAGCATGCCTGGCAATAGTAAAACCCTTCTAAAAGACCTATTGTTTCATGACATTTAGAGTTACTGGTGGGGAATTATTTGAAGATATTGTAGCAAGAGAATATTATAGTGAAGCTGATGCCAGGTATTTTGAGACTTCTGCTAATCCTTGCTCCGTATGTTATATGGTATACAAATGTCACATCTGATTGAATGCATATTATGTTTATTTCAGTCATTGTATTCAACAAATATTAGAAAGTGTTCAACATTGTCATAGTATCGGAATTGTTCATAGAGATCTGAAGGTATAATTATTTTAATTAACATGGCCTGCAGCACACTTTCTTGAGATAGGACTTATTTTTAATTACCACGTCAGCGAAATGTGGTATAACAACTGCCTAAAAAAAGACAAAAATATTTGTCGCCGTTTTGATCCTTTGTCAGAAGAGTTAGTATTTATGTGCTCTGCTATACTGTACACTGTACACTGTACACTGTTCCTTAATTAGTTATATTAGTGACACGACGTTTACTATACCGAAACCCAGTCCAAACCTACTCCTAATTAACGAATAATTACCCTTGTAGAGACTATATATAGAGAGACTGTTTGTACGAGTTATAAAATTGTAGAAGAGTCTTATAAATAATTTTAACAGTCCTTTTATTTGAAAGCATTGGGTTTTCATTGCCAATATATCCTGTTAGTTGTAACAAAAGACTAACCTACTAAAAAATTTCCTATCATTTTAGCCAGAAAATCTGCTTCTTGAATCAAAAAAGAAGAATGCTGTTTGCAAATTGGCTGATTTTGGCCTGGCGATTGAAGTAGAAAATAACAAACCAGGATGGTATGGTAAGTAATTGGAGTAGATATTCCGTATACTGGGTAGTTGAACTTGGCCACATTAACTTCGAGAAATTCCAAGAGGTTTAAGGCCGCCTAGTTGCTATAGATTTTCGATCTATTTTCCACTTTTCATTTTCAGGTTTTGCCGGCACGCCAGGGTATCTCTCACCAGAAGTTTTGAAAAAGGAACATTATGGTTCAGCAGTTGATATCTGGGCTTGTGGTATGTTCTTCATATTCTGACGTCCTTTGATTCGAATCTCAAAAGCCAAAAATTACCGCTATTCTTTATGTCGTGAGTTACAAAGTAAATAATATCTATTGTTTACAGAGTAAAGAAAATCTATTATTTACTCTGTGGTGAGGCATTTGAGTGCATTGTTTACTGTGCTTTAAAATATTTTTATTGTGTTAGGTGTGATATTATATATTTTGCTTGTTGGATATCCACCCTTCTGGGATGAGGACCAACATAAATTGTACGGTCAAATCAAGGCTGGAGTTTACGATGTAAGTGGACCATATCTTAGTGTGTCCCTTCATGCGTTATTATTTTGAGGACTTTGATTAAGGGGTGCTAGTTTCGATAAGTGACAGACTTTGGACAAGTATGGAACCAGTTTATTTGTCTACATACAAAGACTCATTGAGTTGTATTTCTTTGCAGTATCCATCACCAGAATGGGACACAGTCACGGATGAGGCGAAGGTATATATGTCTAATGCATCTGCAATGCCTGTATAACAATGTGTTGATAGTCTTTCATCGTACAGTACGTTCATTGTTACTCAATTATTTAGGCACTAATTGACAAAATGTTAACTGTCAATCCTGAAAAACGGATTACATCCAGTGAAGCTTTGAAAGATCCCTGGATTCTTGTATGTTTTTTAAACTTGTTCACGTGCACGTACTTTATTATTTGATTTTTCTGTTAGTTAGTACTGTGGTAGTTAGTACTGATTTTTGTTCTAAGCGGTTATCTTGATTGTCGTTGTTTTTGTTGTTGGTTGGTTTCTTGTGAGTGGTATTTGTTGCTGGTTGTTGTTACTTTCGATTGTCCCTTGTGGTTGTCGTCACTGATTGTTTTTCATCACCACAAGGATTTGCTTCACGTTGTTTTATTGCATTCTTCATTATTTTCAACTGCTAATTGAGGTAATCATTCTGACGCTTATAGAACCGTGAACGAGTTGCTTCAAAGGTTCATCGTCAAGGAACCATTGATGGATTGAAAAAGTTCAATGCTCGACGAAAGTTAAAGGTTTGTCTTAGTAATTGCTGTATGTTAACGATACCGTGAACATTGCACCGTGTTGAAATGGTGTTTATTTCTATAAAAGGCCATTATAAAAGGTTATTTCTATACAAGCGTAAATACAGGTATGGCGCGGCCCAAATGAGTCAAAAGCATTCTTATAAACGGTAGTATTTGTGTGCGATTTAAATAATTATACTATATACGGCCTATTTTGATCGCGATCAAATTTGAAAATCTCATTGTTCTCAGTATTTATTTGTAGTCGAGGTGTCGAGTAATATATTTTTTCTGCGAGCAAAAATTTGTGCCCTTAAACAGAAATTCAAATTAGATATATCTACTTTGCAGATGCGACTTAAAATGTACATACTTTTCTGTATTTGGTTCACTTCCAGTATTTGTTGTTGTTGTTGTTGCCCTTGAAATTAGAATTGAAATTTGTTTTTTGCATTTGAATTTGAATTAGAATTGTTTTTGTTTGAGCAAAAGGTGGCATCCAACTTGCGCGTGCGCAATCCTTTGTTTTGTCATCTTTAATATTTTTGTTGATTGTCTAGGGGGCAATCTTAACTACAATGATTGCAAAGACTAACTTTCACGCAGGTATAGATATTAAAAACACAACGGATTGGCGGTTCTGATGACGTCGTCTACTTATGCGGAGCATACACGCGATATTCGTATTATTTATTGCGGCATTGAGCAGTTTCTTTAAAGGTAGTGAACTTGAGAATAAAATGTGTCGAGTGTATGATCAATATAACGTGTAAGGTAATGTTCACTACGATCCATGGTAAAGTCTCAATAATACGTGGTCAGCTCTTGACAATTAATCTGTTTCTTGTAGGCTAATCACTGAAATTCCGACGTTTACATTTGATCTTAATACGTGAACGTTCAATCGCGACGTCATCAGAGCAGCCATCCACTCAATGCAATGCATTCATTGTTCCATTCTTATCCCTTTTAGGGAGCTATACTAACAACCATAGTGGCTCGTAGGTTCTCGTCTAACTCAGGTGACTAACCTTATTTAAAAACTCAAATATATCCTAAATGAATTTATAATCAATTAAATTTAATATATATTTTTATAACTGTGTTAATTTATTACGCTTTTGAGTCTCTTTAATGAACATATATATAATCTGCGTTAATTTATTTAATTAATTGATGCTACAATTTCGTTATGATTTTTGATTATTTCATAATTATTATTATGAAACGGATATAATTTGTAATGATAAATGAAATATTTAACTTCAAATCAATCAAAAAATTTTATAAACATTTGGATTTAATTTTTGAATTCAATTTCTGTTGATTATTAAATATTTGAAATCAAAAGGCAAACAATATTAACTAAATTTTTCTAACTACTAATGAAGTTCTGTTTCAATCTGACGTGTGCTAACTAATGTGTAAAATGTATAACCAACATGCATACATAACGCCATTCTTACATTTCATTTCACGCAATGATGCAGTTTAGGCGCTTTATTTGTGATTACTTAACTTCTTACTTAGTGTGAATTATAACTGTCGTAATTTGGGTTCTTTGTGATAGAAGAGTTGGCCGATTCGTGTTAGCCAACTTTTTTTCTCTCCTCTTTGCGAATCATTCAAATGAAACCCAGCTTTTATCGTTGAAGTCGTTATAGTTCACACTAAATAATTGCACTTTGGAGGTGCTAAAAGCCATAGTCACTAGACATATGGTAAAGTATTCCATTCGTGTTGACATGGTGTTGTCAGTATGTCAAATTCCCATAAAGTTTGACTCAACTGCATGACCTTCTGGGAATTGTTTAATACAACTGGAAGTATATCTTGTCGACAGGATGCGAGTTTTATATGTGTGTACGTAAAGTTGTTTCTATTCTACATTCCACTAATTTAAGGCATATGTTTTTTAGTTCGTGCCCAATCCTCATCTTCTAAGAAAAAGGTATGGAAAACGATGACTTGTCTAAACACCTTAGCAGTACTAGCTTTTCTTCTCTCGTGAAATTAAGCAAATTGGAATTAATATATGAACCAATCAACTATAGCAGTGGTATTGTCAATTAGATTTTAAAGCATTAGGAAATTTCAATCAAAAAGTGTATATTTTCTTTTGGAAGAAAAACTTAAGCTTAACCCAGAGTGCTGCTGTTCTAGAGTAGATCATGCATTGCTCCCTCTGCTCACTATTTCCAAGTGGAATTAATAAACGGTCCATATATGGCATCCATATACACTATTTCTAAAGTAAAAATTCAAAATTCATGTCTTCATTGTTTCAAGCCTATACATCGTTGCGAGTTTTAGCATAAACATCTTGCAATATGCTCTTCAATGCTAAATTATATCTTTCTGCACAGAGTTCTGACGAAGAAGCTGTCTTACTGGAAGATGGAGATGCCTCGAAGCGAGATATAGAACAAGATATTATAAAGCTGACTCAAAAAATGCTCACGAGCATCACAACTGGCGATTTTGAAGCTTATAGGTAAGACTATGTTGATGCACAGTTGGTTTGGAGACTAAATATAAAAGTACAATACAACTCATTAACCCTATGTTATTGTCCAGGTTTATATAAAAAAGGTTCCTTTCTCGTCACGTGTCTATTGCATTTTAGCCAAACTTACTGATGGAATTCGTCTTATTAATCTCCCCAACCTTGACTTGAAAAATATGTTATTCCTATTGGCTTATATGTTCAAAATACAATAGACATGTGACGAGAAAGGAACAATTTTTTGCATAAAATCTACCTAACATAGTTAATGAGTTGTATTGTAGTTTTAGGTGGTCTCCAAACTATGTATATTATTAACTGTGGTTGATGTAGGTATCATGAACATTGAACCCTTACACTTTTTTGGGAGAGGGGAACGTCAATTTGTTTTTAAGCAACACTAAATTATCACTGTTAAATATGTATCGTTTTTTTGTAGTAAATTATGCGACTTCTCAATGACATGTTTCGAGCCAGAAACGAAAGGAAATCTTGTTCAAGGGTTAGAGTTTCATAAATTTTACATGGAAAATGGTAGGTTGAAAGTGGACGATGCATGCTAGATTTTATGATAGATGAACATTGTTTTAGTTTAATCCATAGAGTTTCCAATACTTCCTTCGTCGTTTTATGGTTCGGGGTTTTCGTTATCCGGCGAAAACGACAGTTCGATGAGATCGATTGTCATCCTCATGCAATGACAACTAAATCACCTGTTATACAATGTGACGTAGGTTTCTGACATCGCGAGAGCAGGAAAGCGGGATGCTTTCGCAATGCTTTGTGTTTAGTGGCCGATTGTAAATGAAGGTAGTTCACTTCTATCCATAGTTAGTAACAACTACGATTTAACTTCCCAAAATATAATTTGTAATTTGTTTATCCGTCCCCACTTTGTTACCTTAAACTAGCACGTAGGAAGTAGGTACCACCTCCTCCCTCCCCCCCCCCCCGCTCTCAGATAGAAGCTATAAAAATGCCGCAGAGGAAGTGTCTTTTTTACTAGCTGAAAGTGGCGGGTATAAAGGTGCGAGGCAACTTTTTTCCTCAATGTTTTTTTCCTGTCATTTTCTAGTGTTTTCCAAGAGAACAACACCAATCAACACAACACTTCTCACTCCCTTTGTTCACGTTTTAAGCGAAGACTCGGCAGCGATATGTTATGTGAGATTGACACAATATCTTGACAGGTACCATGACGAACGCTTTGTTTTCCCAGCAATAATATCTCGCTTTACATGAATATTTTGAAAACTTTCAGTATTATTATAATAATCACGAATACTTTAAGGCTAAATATGAATAACCGTAAATATTTTTACGCCAATACGCAATAGGCTCAAAAATATATTTGAAAACCATATTCACTGTTGCCAGCGACCGTCGCTCGTGTGTGCCAGTTCATTCAACCTGAAGCATTGCTTTTTGAATTTGTTTTTTTTAGCTCGGGTATGCCATTCACGTTGCAGTCCGAGGAGACGCGTGTTTGGCAGAAGAAATCTGGGCATTGGTTATGCGTACACTTCCATCGCTCGTCCCAGTCCTCATGAATACGCCACCCACCCCTTGATCACGTGCACGCCTGTGTAGTGCTGACGTCTAATTTTCCACTTCCGGCCGTAAATCAATATGAGCATTCTTGGTACATATATGGCTTCGAGTTTATATTTCATGTAGACATTAATTTTAGCATGGACGATACTATTTTAACCAGCGGACGTAGTGAATATTAATCAAGCAACATGAATTATTCATTTGCAGTCAGTGATGGAAATTTAGTGATTCAAATGCTTGTGTAGTATATAATGTAGATATTCTAGTTTTATGGAGAAGCAATTGCCCAGTTGCTTTGAAGAAGCGATGTGATATGAAGCTTAATTTAAAATTTGAGTTTGCTATTTGCAGACAATTAATGAACAATTGAGCTAAATTCTCCAAAGATTTTATAGTTAACCCGATCTGTCTCTGAAGAAAAAGGTTCAGGCCGCACTAAGGCATTCGTGACTTTTAAGTTTGAACAATAAACTGAAAGCAATTTTAAATTAGTTGGACGGCCTTCAAAAGGCCTTAATTTCATTTTCCAACAATAATTGGTAAACGTTTCAATAACATCGGAAAGTATGTGCACTCCTTTTGCTCCTAGCTGCTAGCGAATGAATTTTCTGAGACCCTTCTCGCTTTGTTGGCTTTGAAAATGACAACTTGAGAGCTTGACAACTTTACTGATTGTAGTTAAATTACCGAATTTCTATTTATGCTTGTCTTAAGAAAAGGGGTAAATTAAGCGGCAGTAACGAGTATATATATGCGGTTTGGTCATACAAATGATACAATGCGGGGTTCTGTAGACTTTCATTAGGGGCCAAGGGATATTTATTAAAACTCTCTTGAAATATAACTGAATTAGTTTGGGTGAAAAGTCATAGTCGAGTTAATATTTTTTGACTTGGTAAGTAGGGAGTTTGTGAATCATTCCTGCCCCACCCCAATTATAAGAACAGAAAATGGTGTATGCTTTGAGCTATTTATTCTATTTATTTTTTGCTTCATTTAAATAATAAATATAATGTTAAAATTTCCTGTATCAACATGAATTTTAGTAATTGAATAAAATGTGTATCGCTGATAAGGGAAGTTGTTTCATTCACTTCATAAAATGTATATACAGAAAGTATATTGTCATTTAGACAGCCTAGGATCCTTGCAAGAAAGTGAAATTGCGTTTTCCTCATTCAAGTAATCTAGTAAGAAGTTGACTCAAATACATAGTCCACTCAAATATAGTCACAAAAATACTTTCATTGTCAATCTGAATTTTGCTATGGTGGTCTGCCATAGACTAATGCTTTTGAAAATGTTCGAAGAAATCAAAATCTAATTCCTCTAGAAAGTTGCGGAGTATTGTAATTGTTTTTTATAATGCTTCTCCTTGGTTTCGTATTCTCTTTCAGTCCATAGGTCTTATTGTTTTTCCTGCTGCTTGCATTTTTTTCTTAAGTACTCTGTACTCTTTAGCGGTTAACTGCTTTCTCCCTTTTTCCTGCAATCAAAAGTACCCCACGTTACTATATATGCGAGCAAACTAATGCTATAGACCGTCGTATTCGAAAAAGAACAAGAGCGAAAACGAGGCTAGTCAGGTTTTCTTTTGCCAAAATTAGTCCAAAATTATTTGTTTTTTTCTAGATTATGATTGAAAGAAACATCGTTTTTGTAGCTTCTGACTGGTCCAGCGGAAATTCCGAAAATGAAAATCTGACTAGCCTCGCTTTTGTTCACCTCTTCACAGGCCTCTTGCTCTTTTTCGAATACGTCTATTCGTTGAGAATGTCTGCATGACACGGGGGTCACAGGGGTCTATATATATAGGGCCTGAGATCACCCGCGTCTACGATCATATGTATATATATAAGTTTGCGAAAGCCAAATTGAGATAAAATTGTATTAAAAATATCTCGTTACGGTTTACCTGTCCTTGGCCTTCATTTCTTGCTTTTGCAGCTGCTTTCTTGGTTCTGTAGTAAGAAACGTGTGACATTGCGTAGAAATAATTGGAAAAGACAAGATGTGTCTATATGTCAAATTGGACGTAATAACAAAGGTCGTCCTGACTTCAAATACAAAATTCTCACCGTATAGCGTCAGTGTCGTCGACCCCGGTTAGATCATGTTTTTTCACCCCCTCAGAGATATTTCCCAGCAACTTTGCTGACGCTATCTCCATTGCAACATTAGCAGTTTTCTTCAAAGCTGCTGCTATAGAGTTTGAGCGCTCGTGAGATTGCGGGGCTGATGCACCAGCTGACACATTTTTTGCCAATCCCCCCAAAGTCGTCCCAAACTTGGCGGCTCTGACAAATTTCGACACGGGTGTTTTTGGTTGCATCTCAAACCTGCCTTTGTTGCCAGAGGTTTTCTTCTTAGCGGCATATGCAGCGACCGCCATGTCGTATAACGCACGATACTGCGGCACTGGCATGTGTTCAAAATAAAGGAAACTACATTTAAGGCTAGTTTCCACTCAGGAAAATTCTCCTTTGGATCGGAAAAGACAGGAAAGTTTCCTTTGTATAAATGCCGCTTGAGAACTCACCGACAAAGGAAATTTTCCTGTCCGTTCCGATCCAAAGGAGATTTTTCCTGAGTGGAAACTAGCCTTTACTGGGTATTACTTTTCACAATCAGGAAATTCCGTTATCGACTGAGAAGGAATACGTTACACGTCTACTCACTTACTGCCTTATTACTCATAAGTGCGCATATATGAACAAAAGCCAGCGTAATGCCAGCCAGTGTGACATTTATATGAGTCACTATGACTTTTATATTGCTGAACTCATATTACTATAGACCAATCCATTAGTTTCCCAAACAGTAGTGTTCCCATTTAACAATTAGACAACGAGTCCGAGTTGTCCATGAGCGAATAGTCAACGAAGGCGAGTTGTCCATGAGCGAATAGTCAACGAAGGCGAAGCCTGAGTTGACTATTCGCTCATAGACAACTCGGACTCGTAGTTTAATTGTTTTAGTATACACCCTGTGCCTAGATATATTAATTTCGAGACACCGCAATTACACTGAAAAATGATTTAATTGATTTAATTTTATAAGGTCGCGCGAGTGAATTTTTCCCAAACGTTCACCATCACGAATAGACAATGGTTGAGTAACCAATCAGAATCTAGGAATGGAGGCACATAAATTATGATGATCATCTCTTCATTAACGTTTCCACGTTTTGTGTTTGGTAACCCCTTAGTGGTATGAGTACAGGGATACAGAACGTACCTTGCGTACAACGATCTGCTCTACTACCAAGCTTGCATAGAACAGTGTTAAAAAGAAAATCAGAAATCCCCCCATCTCGTTTCGCCATTAGTCGCTGTAACTCTCCCAGTTCCATATCCATGACCAATATTTCGGTATTCGCCAAAGCTGTAATATGATGTTTCGAGCGACCGAGCACAAATTCCACGTCACCAATTATTTCGCAAGCCCCTAAAGTGGCCACTGTCACATTTTTTTGCTTCAAAATTTCCTCAGCAGCTACATAACCTCGCTTCATAATTTCCCGCCGTTTTTGGATTATCGTAAGTGGTTTCTGGTCACCACCAAGTTCGTACTGCTGGTTCAACATTTTTGGATTCATTTTTAGCAAAGCCTCCCCCCGGCAGATAATGGTAATACTCTTCACAAGGTCCCCTTGGCGCACGATCGCACTCCCATAATGCAATCGTCTCGCTCGCATTTTCTCCAGAAGCGTGACGCGGTAGTCGTAGGGAAAACCTGTCGAGTAAAATGTGTAGTAAAAAGGCGGTGCCCCCACATCACAACATGTTTTCTAACTCACAATAGTCTTTGTATATTCGTGATTAGTTGACAAGCTCTCATGAAAGCCGTTAACTAGCCAGCCTTTAAAGTAGGATTTTCCTAACATTTTTGTTAAAAAATAGGATTAAGACCCTCATTCAGAAGAAAATGATCGCACTGAAAACCGCAGCACGAGCTCCATATAAGCTTCAATTAGTGTTCTATAAGTACCTTTAAATAACGGTGAAGTCTGCATGAATCGAAGTTGGTCTCTCATATCCAAATATCTATCCGCCAGTAACCCCTGGTATACCTTACAATCCACTATCAGCAGGTGTAATTCGTCAGCAATTACGGTTGCATTTCGTTCCTTGTTTGTCTTGTAGAAACACAGATCGCCAAATTTGTCGCCGCTTTTAGCACGGCAACTTCGGCGCCGAATTTTGAGCGCTCTTTGTGATTTTGACGATGGTTGTTCGCATGCCTGATTCGTCATGCACCAGGTTGTCCAAATCTTCTGTTCGTTTTGCATAAACTGACACAGTTCCCTTTAGTATAATGTAACAGCTAGGAATAGATTAATTCGTCATGCGTTGCAAGTAGTACCGACAACCAATATGTGTGGGGGAATTTTAAATTTTGATTAGTATTGAATACCACAAGTCTCACGTCAAGATTTTACCTATATAACCTTATAAAACCATTAATAGACTGACTTTTTTCTCATAATGACATCAAACGCCAGATGCAAACATCACACTCATACACAAAGTCTGTTTGGCACCAAAAAACTAACGTGCAATCAATTAAACTTTGTGTAACGTCAGGCTTTCTACGTTTGACATCATTATGCGAAAGGTCTATTATTAAGTTCAACTATCCATCAAGCTTATTATATGTAATTTAGCTTGTAGGTATACCCCACGTAAGTATATTTAATACTGCAGTATTAAATACTTAGGTGGTGTACCTATACAAGCTAAATCACTTATCGACTGCTAGTTGTCACCATGCAAAGTGCAAACATGCAAGAACATAACCTTCATTATAGTTAGATTTTTAGGTTCGCATTGGTTCCATTCTGTACAATGCACTTAATAATTCATGTATAAGCTAATAAAATTAAATCAATAGTTAGACAAGTATCGGCCCACGATCATCACGTTTAAATGCTGTCTTACCAGTCGCCAACATCGCCCTGCCGCACGATAACATGGTCCCTCTTAATTGGCGCATAGTCAGATTTCGTTATGATTTGCTTGACCGCCTCTACGAAAATCAATAACCAATGATCATAATGATCATAACGCCATCATGAAGATATTCAGTATTCCATGCAGTGTTCCATCAGCGCTAATTTAATGCATAAACCGCGGCTAGATCAGACTAAGAAAACCATTAAAACATGTATAACAGGTGGAATTCCTTCAAAATGACCACATTGAGTGTATTGATTTTATTTATCTTGGCTGCTTATTCAGAACAAGTAACAAATCATCATAATTATTGCTACTCTTATTTAATTATAATTAATCACCACACAAAGATTACATTGGGTCGTAAATGTATAATCAAAAGTAGCGATAATTGCGATGGATTATATACCTGGTTAACTTCATTAATTTCAATTCGTTGAACAAATCATGTTATAATCTTTCCAACTTTGTGGGTTTTAAACGAGCCCTTTCAAACTGTTGAATGTATTGATAATAGGAAAGCCATGGCAAATGATTAATCAATTTAATCGGGAGTTACGTCGCGATTTTACTGTTAAGCTGGTTTTCTACTAGCCATATTTTTCACGCGAAGCGACTTTATTCTTTTGTACTTGGGCAATTTGTTCTAGATGGTTGCAGTTGAGTTCTCTGAAACAAAAATAAAATGTCGCCTCGCGCGAAAAATATCGCTAGTGGAAAACCGTTCACGTTTTTGGGTTATGTTTTGACTAAGACTAAGTCAAAAGACCAGGAACCTCATTACATTATTTCATGTGTGAAATTTCTTTTCATTTTTATTGATCAAAAGTTAAAAAGTTAAAATCAAAAAACCGTTATTTTTTGTGAGTGTGTTGAAGAAAATTTTTTGACATCTTTGCACATAGGTCTAGAGAGTAAAACATGAAATCCATTTCCTTTCGCTTATTAGGTGGTTTTAGGTGGAAAAAAAGAAAAATTTAGTTTTGAATTTGTTTCGTAAATTTTCGACAATCTAAAATAATTGCTAGTGATAAATAATCAAAATTGGTAATGTACAGTATACTAAATAATATAGGAATATTGCAGATACGAAATAATGAATTTAAAAAA